CCCCCACCCCACCCCACCTCCCTCTGGCTGAGGGGTGGAGAGTGGGGGGTGGGGAGGTCAGGGGCATGACCACCCATGATCGACCGGCCTGCCTGGCTCCAGGTGGACGTGCACATCATGATGCAGCCGCCCTCAGGTGAGTGGCTGTACCTGGACACGCTGGTGACCAACAGCAGTGGGCGCGTCTCCTACACCATCCCCGAGACCCATCGCCTAGGTGTGGGTGTTTACCCCATCAAGATGGTGGTCAGGTAGGAGCTGGGAGGAACGAGTGAGTGGGCCGACCTGGTCTGGGGCTGGAGGAAGGGGCCCTGGTGGGTTCTGACAAGCCACCCCCTCCCAGGGGAGACCACACGTTTGCTGACAGCTACATCACCGTGCTGCCCAAGGGCACGGAGTTCGTGGTCTTCAGCATCGACGGCTCCTTCGCTGCCAGCGTGTCCATCATGGGCAGCGACCCCAAAGTGCGGGCCGGGGCCGTGGACGTGGTGCGGTGAGTGCCCCCAAGGGCAGCGGGTGGGCTCGAAGGCAGGTAGCTGGGGGCTGGGCAGAGGGGATGGTCTTGGGTGCCAGAGCCAGGACAGAGGGCAGGGACACTGTGGCTTGGAGGGGCCAGCAGCACCACTTCCCAGCTGGAATCTCTTGCTGTGGATGCCTCAGTTCCCTCACCTGGGAGGTGGGGCTTTTCCTAATAAGACCAGTTACATCTGCTGCAGAGGGTGGGAGTGGGGATTGTGAGAGCCAAGCAGTGAGCACCATGCTGGGGCTGTTACTGTTGAAGCCTGTGCCCACTAGTGGGGCTGGCTGGGCAAGGAGACCAGGCAGTCCCAGAGAGAGGACAGTGCGGCCGTGGGACACCTAGGCCTGCCCCTCGCCCCCAGGCACTGGCAGGACCTGGGCTACCTCATCATCTACGTGACTGGCCGGCCTGACATGCAGAAGCAGCGGGTGGTGGCGTGGTTGGCTCAGCACAACTTCCCCCACGGCGTGGTGTCCTTCTGTGACGGTCTGGTGCACGACCCGCTGCGGCACAAGGCCAACTTCCTGAAGCTGCTCATCTCCGAGGTGGGTCCCCGGGTGGAATGGAGCGGGGGGTGGGGGGTGGGGGCGGAAGGGCTGAGCCTGCGCCCACACCGGTCTCGCCCACAGCTGCACCTGCGCGTGCACGCGGCCTACGGCTCCACCAAGGACGTGGCGGTCTACAGTTCCATCAGCCTGTCCCCCATGCAGATCTACATCGTGGGCCGGCCGACCAAGAAGCTGCAGCAGCAGTGCCAGGTGAGCGGAGTTCAGGTGGGCGGGGCAGGCGGGCAGCTCCACCCCCCGACTGCCGCACCGCCCTGGGAGCCCCGCCCCCCGACGGCCGGGCCACCCCGGAGCCCCTCCCCCTGACAGCGTGCTCCCCGCTGCCCTCACCCGCAGTTCATCACCGACGGCTACGCGGCCCACTTGGCCCAGCTCAAGTACAACCACCGGGCGCGGCCGGCCCGCAACGCGGCCACCCGCATGGCGCTGCGCAAGGGCAGCTTCGGCCTGCCAGGCCAAGGCGACTTCCTGCGCTCCCGGAACCATCTGCTCCGCACCATCTCGGCCCAGCCCAGCGGCCCCGGCCCCCGGCCGCACGAGCGGACGCAGAGCCAGGCGGACAGCGAGCAGCGGGGACAGCGCAGCATGAGCATGGCGGCCGGCTGCTGGGGCCGCACCTTGGCCAGCCGGCCAGAGCCCGGCGCAGCCGCGGGCCCCAAGTAGGGCACCGGGAGTGAGGCGCTGTGGTCTCCATGGTGCTAGGCCAGGGCGGCCCGCCCTGCCAGGAGGCCTGGCCTGGGCACGTACGGTCGGCCGAGACAAAGCTCGTCCCAGGGCCCGGCAGGGGACACGGGCTGTGCCAGACACAGCCCTCCCAGCCCAGCCTCACATTTGAGGGTCTGCGGGGTTCCAGCTGGTCGTGGAAGTTGGCAGGACAACCATCCCTGGGAAGACCTAGGGACCAGGACCCCCAACGTGGACTGGCCAGAAGGCGCTCCTGGACGCTTGCCCTGCATTGACCCCCCACCCCACCCCTGCATTCTGATGCCAGGCTTGGGCCCCTCCCATCCACTTGCTCACCCTGACCCCCAGGTCCCTTCCCACTCGGTAGCAGCTGCGACGGGGGACAGCCTGCTTCTTGTTGACTCGAGTTACTCAACTGTTTGACCTCACTGGTTTTGCACTGATTTTTGAGAGTGGAGATTCATCACCATCTCCTATGGCTACAGACTCATGGACATGCATGAAAATTCAACGTTTGCCCATCCAAGACCTGCCGCCACACAGAAGGCTCCAGGGCAGAGAATCCTTGTACAAATAGGAGAGAAAGGCCATATCATAATTTCTGCCACTCTGCCTGGCCCATGAACCCATGGCAGCCCCAGACCCCAGCCTCTTCCACCTGCCCCATTTGGAGCCCAGTTCAGCCGCGGGCCTGGCGCCATCTCTGCCCTGGGCACAGCTCAGGCTCCCAGGTCAGTCAGTGAAGCCAAGTGGCTCCTGAGAAGCCTCGCCTGGGGCTGCGGGGCCTGGACAGGCCTGGCCTTCTCTTCTTCTCCTTGCCTGCCATCAGCCAAGGCTCCATGCCTCGGCCCTCCCTCCGCGTTTCTACACCTTTCTACTTCTCCAATCTGATTTCTATGAGGTTTTTTTAATCGAGCAATCCTTGGCTGCTTCCTTTTCTTAACTCTTTCTGTACCAAATGCAGCCCCTCCACATGAAAACACCCAGCACTGTGACGGAGTCCAGCCTGGTTCTGGGTCCCAGGGCCCTGTCCGCTGCCCAGGCAGCGGGGCGTGGCCTCTCTGCCTCACCCGAGCCCCGTTAAGTCCACAGAATTTCTACTCTGGGGTGAGTGGGGCACACCCTTAGTTTTTTTTTTTAATGCCAATTCCGTTTCAATGCCGAATCTAAGAAGCCACAACTCGCTTAGTTAGCTTAAGGGCAGGCAGCCATGACTACATTTCCCACTTGGTAAGGACCACGCTGTCCTGTGTGCTGGGTCTGAGCATCAGCCCTCCCTCCCCAGAACTGACCGCGATCTCAGCTGTGGCCTCGGCTCCAGGCAGCCCCTCTGCTGCTCCTCCACCCCCTTCACGACAGGGGAGCCTGCCAGGCCTCAGCCAGCCGTCCAACATCCAGGCCCCTTCTGTGAGAAGCGGCTGGCAACCTGGATACGGCCTCGGGGCCTCGCGGGCTGGGAAGGTGAGGCACGCAGACAGATGTTAACATTTTCCCGTGTGTAGATATGTACAGCCAAAGGGTCATGTAAATGTTCTGCAAAAGTGGGTCTGTACAGAGTGAAAGCTATTTATTTTGTGCAGAGAAAAATGTCTGGAGGGATGGGACCTTCAGGACTTATTCATATTTAAGATGTAGCTTTTTGTTGTTTCTGGCATTATGTATAAAGCGACGATTATTTTATGGACCAAGTTTTAATGTAAATGTTGCAGTGAAAGTGCAATATCTAACCCCCTGCTCCCAGCGGGAATCACTCGGCCCGACAATCACAGCCCCAGCTAGGGGCCCCGTGGCCAGTGCCTCCTCCTGTCGGTCCCACCTCACCCCATCTCGCCTGTCACCTCGGTGAGCAGCCATCCGGATGGAGGAGCACCTGCAAGAGTCTCGGCCCGCCTGCAATAAAGGCCTGGAGGCCGCCAGCCCCGGGAGGCTGGGTGGGCAGTGAGCTCGGCCTCTCCCAGCGGGCCGCTGCCCCACGGCTCCGAGCTCCCCGCCTGCCTACCCAGCCGCCAGCCATGCCAAGGACAACAGCAATAGTCCGGGCCTCTCCCAGCGGCCCTCAGCCATAGATGGTGAGGTGGGCAGCCCACCCTCCCCGTGGACGTCTCTCTTCTATATCCAGGTCGGCTTCCTGCCTCCCTTCAGATTCCTCTTGGCACATTATCCTCTTAAGGAAGCACCAGTTTTTCAGAAACTAAGAGAGGGAGGACAGAGTCCTTTAAAAATACCAAAAATGTTTACAGCATTGGGTGCTGAGCTGCAGGGCTCAGGCCCGACCAGTCATAACCAAAGGGTGAGGCAGGCCTTGCTGACTGCCACCCCACCCCAGGCCTGTTAGAGTAGAAGCCTTAGTCCCAGCCCCCCCACCCCCAGGACTGAGCCTCAGCCCGCCACTCCCAGACCCCACCACCTGCCTTCTCTTTGATTTCTAAAGAGGGATTCAGCAGAGACCCCATGCCCCCTTCCCAGCTCGGTCTGAACTGCCTGCCTGCCCGCCTGCCACGTCGCAGTCTTCACGTCTCAACCCGTCTGTCTGTCCTGTCTGTCTGGGCCGCCTGTGAGCGGTGTCCTGACGTACCCCCGCCCGCCCTTGCTGTCCCTGCTCCATCGGGTCCGAGTGTGCTCTGTGTACTGTGTGTCATCTGTTACACCGATTAAAGAAGCAGGAAGGCTTCCTTCTGGGTCTCAGTACTGCGCCGGCCACCAGGGCACTGGGGGTGGGGGCTGGTTGGGGGTGCGGCCTGCCCTTGGGGGTGAAGGCAGTCCTTCCCAGTACACAATGCCAGCTGTGTTCACAATAATCCCAACACACTCCCGTGGGCCTTATCTCTGCTGGGCTTCCTTCTGGCCCCTTCCTGGGTATGAACTCAGTCTGTCCTCACAGTAATCCAGTGATGGAGGGGGGTGCTGTCAGCCTCTGCCTCACAGAGGACACAGCCTGTGAGCTGGGCCAGGACTCCTCCCAGGCCTGCAGGACTCTCTTATCTGCAGAGTTAACAGCAAGGGCAGCAGCTTCCCTCCAGGCCTGAGGAAATCAGCCTAACAGCTGAGGGTTTTGGATTCAGCTGGGGTGGGTGGGGCTCTGGTCCAGGCGGGCTGACCTGAGGGTGAGGACCACAAGAGTGGCTGGGGTGTGCCCCCTGCCCCCCAAAGCTCCCCGAGTCCTTATTTTGCCCTGAAGTCGGGTTGCATCATTCCCTCCCCCTCAGCACAAAAAGCAACAACACAGGACGTCTCCAACCAGGGAACATTTAATATCTGGGAAGGTGCGCTCTTTCGGGAGATGGGGGAGCTGACTCGGCCAGTGACCCCGACCTCCACTCCCTGCAATGGAGAGGAGGCTGGGCCAGAGGCTGGTCTGCAGGAGAAAGAACACGCAGCAGGCTCCCCGCTGCCCACCCTGAGTCCAGCCTCCAGGTCTTGCCAACACTGTGTGTAGCAGGCCTTGGCCGGGGGCTGGGGCCTCAGGGCAGGAGCCCTGCTCGCATCTGGAAGGCCAGGCCGTCCCCTCGAGTGGCTTGCTGGGGAAGAAAGCACACGTCAGGTCAGAAGAAGAGCTGGGGGTGGGCCTGGGTAAGGGGGCGACACCCACCTTGTTGATCTCTCTGTGTCGTTCCTTGGTGACGATTTCCTCTAAGACCTCGCCGTCTCCCTTAATGAGCCTGGGGATGAGGGTGGGCCGCCTGAGCCTCTGAGAGGCCAGAGCACCAGAACCAGAAGCACCGGCAGGGAGTGCCAGGCCTCAGGCCCCACCACCCCTGGAGCAGGCTGCCACACCCTGCCGGCCACTCCCACTCTTCCCTCCTGACCTCCCTCCCTTGCCACAGAGATGAGGGCAGAGGGTAGCTCTGCCATCAGACAGGCCAGCTGGGGCTCTTTGAGGACCCTCCCTCAAGGCCCTTCCAGCCCCTGCAATCGCCTACTCCAGCCAACAGGGAGCAATGGCCTGAGAAGTCTCATCAAGGGACGTTTCCCCTGGTCCTCAGCCTGTTTCGAGCAGCAGCAGCCCCATCCCTCCTCCTGAGAGTGCGGTCTGGGGCCAGCGCACCCCACCTGGTGCGTCCTGTCTCCGGGTCCACCACCTTGCGGATGACGCTCTGCCGGGCATCCCACTCCTCCTTGGTCATGGGCTTCATGGCCTGGATGCGGGACTTCTGCTCGTCCGTCAGGACTGGAAGGTAAGATGGCAGGGAGGTGGTGGCAGGGCCTCAGGGAGGGGAGCCTCCCTGCCCTGCACACCAGGCAGCGCAGTACCTGGGCCATCCTCTTCCTCCTTGGCCGCTCTGTGCCACTGGTCCAGCGAGGGTCCAGGCAGAGCCTCGGTCTGCTGCATTTTGGCCTTCTCCTTGCCCCTCTTCTTCAGCTTCTTCTTTCTTTTCTTCTTCTTCTTCCTCTTCTTGTCCTTGTGCTTCCCCCGCTTCTTCCGGCCATCGCTGGAGGAAGAGGAGGAGGACGAAGAGGAAGAGGAGCTAGAAGAACTGGAAGAAGAGGAGGAGGAGCTGGATCGTGGTCTCCTCCGGGCCTTGTGCTTGCTTCTCTCTGTGATGCAGGGAGAAGGTGAGGCTGGAAGGCCAGGAGGGGAAGAAGTAAACTTTCGTCCCCTTGCTCTGGCCTGTAGCAGGCTCAGGCTGACTACCTCCTGGCAAGGGCTTCAGCACGCTGTGGAGAGGCACTTTCTCGACTCCGCAGTCACTGTCTGCCCAGAAGCAAGGTGGCCAGCCCCCACATCTTAGGCCCAGCTACACCAAAAAATATGTGTAAGTGCTCGCTTCATTCCGTATTCAATGGGTTGGCGCAGCCCCTGGATTCTGAGCGTCTTTCAATCCAGATAGCAAGGATCTACACTCTTGTGTCCCTCTGAATAATGCTCCCTGCGATTTTCCCAAAGTCAGTCTGGAGAAGCCCTCCCGACTGCCTGCAACTTCCTCCCTCAGGTTCCCTCATCCCTTTCCCATTCCCTCTGGTCCTCACCCTCCGCCCCAGAGGAGGTGGTGCTGGCCTTGCGGCTTTGGGATCTCGAAGCCGAGCAGCTCCTCCGGGCGTCCTTACTGCTCTTCTTCCTTTTCTTTTCCGACCCTCGCCCCCGGGAACGGCTGCGACTCCTAGAGCGCTTGCGGGAGCCGACGTGAGCCATAGCGCCGCGAGCTGCAGACACGAAGGCGCGAAACCCGGGATCGATCTCGGGGCTGGCCCGCAGACTGGGTTCCCAGGGCTGTACTCTGGCCGAGTCGACGAGACTCGGCCTGGTTTTCTGGGGCCTGGCACCCGTCACTACCCGGGGCAGCGTTATTGAGGGAGAGTAGAAGCAACCGTACGATCCTCGCCCACCCCCAACCCGGGATAACCCAAGTTCTCCGCGGACTCCCGGCTCCTCCGCTGCGGCCCCTTTAAGGGTCCGCCCCCGCGCGGACGATTCACGGCTGCGCGCGCAGCTCAGGCGCCTCTAGGAACGGCCGCGCTCTTCAACTGCCAGGTGCGTTCCTCTTCCCTTCCCAAGTGCTCCTACTGTCCACCTCGTGCCCCCTTGCCGCCTCAAAGAAAGTTCCCGGGGCTGCTCCGCTCCCTCAACCTCCCATCCGATGGGACCGCCAACCCTGCACCACGCCTTCAAGTGAGAAGGCGAGGAAACGACGGCAGGGTGACTTCCGGCCCGGGGCGGTGCACTGGGAGGCTGTCCGGCCGCGAAGCGAGGCGCTGCTGCCTTTAGTTCTGAAGCCCCAGGTTCCGTCTGTGGGGCAGCCCATGAAGCCGTCTGGCGCGCTCACCTCCCAGAGAGGCGAGCTGGGGCTCCAGGCTTCCGCCTCTAGGCAGAGCTCCCGGAGAGACCTGCTCTCCAGCCTGGTACCAGTCCCAGAGCTCACAGGCCCTTTGCCGCAGCTATGCCCTCTCCCATCTCTGTCCTATTCGGCGGGCCTGCAGCACTCCCAGTCCCTGAGAAGCCCAGGGGAGGCGGCGACTGTGGATTTTCTGCGGACATGTCCACACCAGCAGGCCGTGAGCTCCAGAGCCTTGATCTTTCCGATGTCTGCATTCAGTAATACAGAGATCACAAACCCAGACATCCATAAAAGCCAGAAAGATCACAGCAACGTATGTAGGGACCCCTGTGAAAGAGTGTACCACAGGTCTCGAGAGTGGGGGCAGCTGAGTCTGGTCTCGCTGGTTTCTGCAATGTGGACTGGGGCCGGATGTTTCCAGATCTTCCCACTTTCCCAGGGGAGCCCGAACTCAAGATTTCAACATGGAAAACCCTCCCAAACATAGCATAGCTGCATGCCTCATCCAGTCTTGCGGCCACTGAGTTGCAAACTCTTTGATAGTAATGACAGCAACAAACCCAGAGGACTGTTGTAAATTGCTTTATAAATGGGAAGTCATTTGATCCTCAAAAGAGCTCTAGGAAATAGGTACTCTCCAGAAAAAAAAAGACTAAGGCAGAGCAAGGCACGTGGCTTACCCACAGTCAAGACTGGAAGTGGCTGAATCAGAATTTGAACCCGGGCAGTCTGGCTCCATGGCCCAGCTTTTAACCCCTCTTAAGTAACTCCTCCATACTGTCCAGAAGATGCTGTTGGTGACCCACCCAAATCCCCTTAAGAAGACAGGTGCACTCGACCTTAGCCATGTTGTCTGCTACTGACACCCCACACCTGGACTCTATAGTCTGGAAGATTCCCTTGGCCACTGGGAGCCACACTGCCCTGGAGGTGGATGTTTAAGAAGTTACTCACCCCCTCCATACCCTGAAATACCCCATAGCCAATAACTGCTGTTGGGGGGCAAACTGCTACAGTTCATGCTCCAGAGAGCCCTGTGGGATTGGGCTGAAGCTGGATGCTGTGTCAGACCGTCCTGCTCCAGCTCCTTCCTACCCTGTCCTGCTCCTCCTCCCTGGAGCACTCCCTCCTTAAACCACTTGCACAGGAATTCCTGTCTCAGGCTCTGGTCTACAAACCAGACCTAAGCCAGCCTGTCTGCTGAAAGAATGACCCGGAAGCCTGTGTGTCCTCTTGAAGCAAGAAGTGCTGAGGGCTGCAGGGTGTTTATTTCCGTCCTTGCCCGCCACACTGGCCCTGGCCAAGCTCAAGTCAGGGCACACACATCCACCGTGGCGGGCTCCTCACGGGTGAAGCCGTCGCCAAAGCCCTCGTCATCCACCAGGTCGGGCTTGCGGCAGCACATGGGGCAGAGGCGGTTGCGCACGGCTGAGGCCCGGAGCCAGACGACCAGGTTCCAGCGCTCACCAGTGCCCAGGGGCCGAGCCCCGTGCAGCTGGCCCCCCCGGTGCAGGAGGCCCTGGCCCACCACATGCTCCACCTCCAAGGGCCTGGCCAGGGTTGAAGGCACCTGTGGGCAGTGGGACTCAGGCCTGGGTACTCGCGGTGGCTCCGGCCCAGCCCCATGGGTTACACACACTAACCTGGAAGAGATCCCCGAAGTAGAGGGCACCCCCTGTGAAGGCCTTGCCCAGGGACACATTGAGGGTGAGCTCGGCATTATCGTAGTGGCAGCCCAGCTCGCGGTCCTGGCCAGGTGCGTATTTGACCACAAAGGCCCGGTGGCTGTCCAGCCAGCCCCCGCCACAGTCTGGGTACAGCAGTGCCATCAGCGGCTGGAGGAAGCGCTCCCGCAGCGGCGTTACCAGCGGTTCATCCAAGCCCAGCTCATGCAGCAACACCTGGGGGTGGGGGAGCCCAGAATTAGCAGGGAAGCTGGTAGGGCCTGTCCCTGGGGGAGCCCCTCACTAAGGACAGTGCTGAGCGCTGTGCAGACATCATCAGTGTGCTTAACTTCATAATAATACTGCCTGATTTCATCTGACAGATGGGGAGAGACCAAGGCTTGGAGAAGGTCTGCGCTGGGAACAGGTCTCCCCACACGGACGTCCCTGCCTCCTTGTGCCGGCTGGGTGGAGCCTCACCCACCCCATAGTTGTTCATGGTGTTGGGTCTTCCCTTGGGCATGTCTGACTGCTCGAAGTGCTCCAGCTCCTCCAGCAGGGCCTGGCAGAAGGGTGCTGTGAATACCGGCAGCCGGTAAATTCGCTTCTCCTCTGCGGAGGGAGATGGAGGGACGGCTGGTTAGGTGGGAGCTTACCTTTTCACTTCCCCCAGCCTCAGTCTCCTCATCTGTAGAGTAGGGATGACGTGAGTACTCAACTCTCAGGGCTCTTGTGATGATTAAATGACATAACGTGTGCGGCAAGGGTGCCCTATTCTTGGACCCCCCACCACCACCCATCCTTAGATCCTGCCCTGAGGTCTGACCCCCAAATTCAGATGTGCATCCTGGCTGGCCACCCCTCACCCCCCAGCTCCAGGTCCTGGCAGGTTCAGGAGACTTTGCTCTTGCCCCCTCCTTCAGGTCTTGGGATGGGAACTGCTCCCCATTCCCACCCCCACTGCTAATCCTGGGGCAGGTCTCTCAACATCCCTTGCTGAGCCCACACTTGTCTCAACCATTCCCTCATTAACGTCTTCAGTCACCCCAGTTTGAGGATGCCGGCTGGCTTGTGCCTGGTGCGTAGCACTGAATTACTGATCACTGTGGTGGATGCGTGTGCAAGTGAGTGAATACAGATGCCCTCCTCCTGACAGTTCCATCCCACCCCTCTTCTCACTCCTGCTCGTTTGACTTTTAGAGGCAGATATGGTGGGTGAAGGGACCCCAGTCTGCCATCCCCAGTCCTGCCAGGTGGCAGGCCAAGACCTCACCTGACACTGTCTCCAGCCGCTGGAGAAGGCCCTTAAGGTCTGCGCCTGACGATGTGCTGTATTCAGCTGCAGCCAGAAATTCAGGGGCCAAAGCGGCCTCCTGGGGGCAGAACACACCAGCCATGGGGCAGACAGCCCCCAGGCCCAGATGCCTCCACCTCCTTCCAGTAACCTGTCCCCTGCCAAGTACCTGCAGCAAGTTGTAGACCTCTGGCCGTGCTGGGTGGTAGGAGCTGGCAATGAGGGCTTTCCTGGCAGCCGACTCCAACCCCAGCCGCCGCCGCCGCTCCACCTCCTGCTCAAGCTGGGGTGACACAGGGCCTGGTTACCAGAATGGGGCCTCCCATCCCTCCCAAGGCCATCATACAGATGAGGAAACTGAGGCTCAGGAAACTCAAGGCAAGGCCAGAGCTGGGAGCCCAGTCTTCCTATGTTCCTGACTCTGCCAGGGTAAATGGCACGTGTTAAACTTAGCTGAAGGGGATTCCTACCAGAACGGGGCCCATCCCACTGAGGGCTGCACCAGCTTGGCTGGATTGAGACCCATCGCTGCACCTTCATCAGCTGGGCCCAACCAAGGAGGGGAAACAGAGTACTGGTTAAGTCTTGTGTTCCAGAGGCTGAAGATGGCTGTCCTAGGAAGCTTCTCAACACTTAACACCACCTCCCCATGGGAGACAGGCAGAAGTGGTGGTAGGGGGGTGGGGAGAATGAAGAGTCAGGAGCTTGGCGGCACCTGCTGTGAAACCTTAAGGTGACTCCTCCCCTTGAGTGCAAGTTTCTCAAATGGGCACAAAGCAGATAACTTGGCATTTTCCCTGCTTTCTCTTGTCCTGGTGCCAGCACCCAGGTGCTGTGGTAAGTGGGGACAGGAAGGAGGTAAGGGGAGGTCAAAGGAGCCCTTCCAGGATCTGACACTGGCAGACCTGAGGCCGGGAGACCCCTCAAGCTGCTGACACAAATCTAAACAGGAAGGGCCCCGCTGGGTGCAGAAGGGGCGGTGGAGGGTGGGGAGTGTTACCTCTCCCAACAGCTGCTGGAAGTCTTTAGGGCTGACACAGCCTCGCCTGCGCAGGATCTGGGAGCAGAAAAACCAGTAAGCGTGATAGTGTGACCTGGGGCAAGTCTTCTCTTAAGGTCTCTGAGCCTCAGCTTCTCCTCCTTGAGATGATCCGATCACAGGATCATCGTAAAAATGAAATGTGATAAGCACGTTAAGCACACAGCAGCGGCTCTTGTTAATAACAGAGAGGACTCAGCCAGGCCCTGCCCTGAGTACTTGACATGCAGTTCATTCATTGATCCTTCATGACAGTCTCACTAAAGCGATACCATGATCGCCATTTGAGGTGGAAAATAAGGAATGCATCTGAGGTTAAGTCATTCTTGTCCGATCTGAGCGCGCCAAAGGTAAAGTAAACGACCCCGGCGACTGAGGTCCCTCCTCCACCACCGCTCTCTCTCGTTTCCCCGCAGAGCCAATAGAAGCCACTCACGGGCTCGTAGTCCTGGCGCAGCTGCTGTTCACTCCGGAAGCGCACGTGAAGCCCGTAGCGCGCCACGTACAAGTTCTCTGAGCAAAAGCAAGCGCAGCGGCAGAAGCGCCGGGGAGCCGCTGCGGTCCCCATGGTGAGAAGCGTTGCACTGCCCCGCCGGCTACCGTAGGGACACTTCCGGGTACGCCCCCAGTCGGGCAGGGGCGCGGTTTGGAACCAGCGGCCAAGGGTCCGTTCTAAATTCCCAAGTGCAGAAAAGAACGAAGACTCCGCTCCAGAAAACGAGCGGAGAAAGATACTCCCAGGCAGGAGTGAGACTGACAGCGTCCCCTAAGAGCACGCCAGCCTAATGGGCCGCTGCTTCACAGTTTCTCCATCCGCGAGGCGGGGATTAATCATCCCTTTTTATAGATAGGTGAACTTGAGTCACACCTTCACAGGACGTGGAGAAGTAGAAACTCGGAATTCCAAGACCTTCGGCTTAAACACGCTGCTTTCTTTTCCTGCTAGGCGCTTTTAGAGGACCAGCTGACGTCACGAGGACAGTTGGAGTCTTGGGGTCCGATTTTGTTCCAACTGCGCTCCAGTTTTGTGCGTCTGAGCTTGGGTTTAGCTTTCATCCCGGTCCCTGCCCGGCGCTCCCGAAGCCTACCCCACTATCTATTAGGGTTCGCCGCAGAGTGCCCCAGAGGGTGTCTCCAAGAGAGGGCTCCGACCAGCGAGACTTCCGGTGGCTCTCCTCCCGGATTCAGGTGTGAGGGGGGAAATAGGGTGTGCTCGGTCGTGGCCACACCCCGCGCAACCAGGTTCAAGTTCTGCACAGCCAAGTGTGAGATGAGTATGTTTCTGTTTGATAGAGCTTGCCCGCGGAGACCCAATCACAGTACACGCAACTCTGTCTTTAGTTAACTCCAGTTCAGTCTCTCAGTCCCGTTTGACTCTTTTCGACCCCATGGACTGCAGCACGCCAGGCTTCCCTGTCCATCACCAACTCCTGGAGCTTGTTCAAACTCATGTCCTCCCAGTCAGTGATGCCTTCCAACCATCTCATCCTCTGTCGTCCCCGTCTCCTCTCGTCTTCAATCTTTTCCAGCATCAGGGTCTTTTCCAGTGAGTCAGTTCTTCGCATCAGGTGGCCAAAGTATTGGAGTTTCAGCTTCAGCATCAGTCCTTCCAATGAATATTCGGGACTGATTTCCTTTCCTTTAGGATTGACTGGTTTGATCTCCTTGCTGTCCAAGGGACTCTCAAGAGTCTACTCCAACACCACGGTTCAAAAACATCGTTTCTAAGGTGCTCAGCTTTCTTTTTAGTCCAACTCTCACATCCATATGTGACTACCGGAAAAACCATAGTTTTGATTAGATGGACCTTTGTTGGCAAAGTAATGTCTCTGCTTTTTAATATGCTGTCTAGGTTGGTCATAGCTTTTCTTCCAAGGAGCAAGCATCTTTTAATTTCATGGCTGCACTCACCATCTGCAGTGATTTTGAAACCCCCCAAAATAAACTCTGTCACTGTTGCCATTGTTTCTCCATCTGTTTGCCATAAAGTGATGGGACTGGATGCCTTGATCTTAGTTTTCTGAAAATTGAGTTTTAAGCCAACTTTTTCACTCTCCTCTTTCACTTTCATTAAAAGGCTCTTTAGTTCTTCCCTTTCTGCCATAAGAGTGGTGTTATCTTCATATCTGAGGTTGATGTTTCTCCTGGAAGTCTTGATTCTAGCTTATGCTTCATCCAGCACAGCATTTTGCTTGATAACTCTGTCTTGGGAACCCCATTATGGTACACCATGCACCCCCAAGGTCCCAATCTGCAAAGCCCCAAGAAGAAGCTGGGCTGGCAGTCATGTTGCCGAGCTGGCAGAACAAAGGTGCACACCTGGGGAGCAATTCTTGACCCCTAGAACTTCTTCCTGCACTAGAGTTCCCTCAAAGGTTCAGCATGAAGCTGGTATGGAGGTGGAGAGGAAGACTCTGGGGCTTTAAGACTCCCCAGATAAACAGTGACTATGGATGACAGCTGTTGCCTGAGCCCCACCTTGACCAGACCTGAGCTAACACATCTACTACCACTCACCTTAATTCCTTTCATCCCTACAGCAAACCTTTGAGCTGGGTACTATTATATCACCATGTTACAGAGGGGCAAGGGGCTTCCCTGGTGGCTCACATAGTAAAGAATCCGCCTGCAATTGAGGAGACCCAGGTTCGATCCCTGGGTCAGGAATATGCCCTGGAGAAGGGAATGGCTGGCCACCCCAGTACTCTTGCCTGGAGAATCCCATGAATAGAGAAGCCTGGTGGGCTACAGTCCATGGGGTCACAGGAGTTGAACGCGACTGAGCAACTAAATACACATGCACACATGGGGAAACTGAGGTCCAGAGAGGTGCAGTGACCTGCTCCATGTCATTCAGTAAGGGACATATATATACGGGGATTGAACCCAACAGTCTTCCTTCTCTTTGGGTTCCCTGTTCACCACAATATGAATATTTTGTAGCTTGTAGGATCTCAGTTCCTGACCAGGGATCGAACCCATGCTCCCTGCAGTGGAAGCGTGGAGACCTAACACTGGGACTGCCAGGGAAATCCTTTGTTGGCATTTGCTTGATGACTTTGCTTTCCTTTCCTCTTGTGTACACACAGGCTCACACAGTCACACTCACATCCACAGTCACACACACTCTTGCACACACTCAAACACAGCCTTACATGCTAACACACAGTCACACAAAATCACACATGTGCTCACACCGTCAACACTCCCTCCTTTATATGCATGCAATATTCCACATTACAGTCACAATCACACACTTGTATTAATAAACCCAGTAAACCCAAAAGTCCTGCAGTGGGCTGAGCCTGGAGTGCTTGCAGAATAGCAAAAATCCTACAAGAGGGTGGGTCATAGAGAACAGGGCCAGGGTTGTATTTGGGACCAAATCTTTGGGCCACTGGCAACATTTTGGATTTTATTCTATACAAAGGGAAGCTGTTTAGTCCTCACAACAAACCCTGTGAGGTAGGAGCTATCCCCATCTGACAGATGTGGAAGATGAGGTTCAGAGAGGTTGAATGACCCATGTGAGGTCACACAGCTCATATGTGGTGCGGTCTGGCAGGGTTCCTTCCTAAAGGTGCCTCCTTGGGCATGAAAGCCAGGTCTTTGCACCTCGGAGATTCTGGGGCCCAGACCTGGGACCCCAAAAACTACCCATCTTCCCCAGGTAGGAGAATGATGGTAAGGGACCTGCTTGCCCCTCAAGGGCCCCACTCCCCAGCCCAGAGCTGTGGGGCCTGAGCAGGTGATTAACGGTTTACAGCCATCTTGATTGCCCAGCGATAGTGAAGGGCCCTGCTCTCCAGGAGAGGATCTGTTTCCGCAGGTCTTCACTCATTCCCCTTCTCAGGACCTTCCTCTCCCCCTCCTGCCTCCCCAGGCCCAGGAGCAGACCAGCTGCCCAGGCAGCCACCAAGCAGGCTGGTATGTGCAGCCCCCAACCCCGGCCAGCTCACTTGTTAGGGTGCTCCTTTTATGGCTGTTTTTCAAGATGAATGTGTTCTCAGTTGAGACTGGCCCTCCCCATGGCCCACCGCTGCCCTGGAAACGGCATCCCCAAACCCACTCTGCCCCAACCTGGGCTCCATCACCAGAGGGAACCACAGCCCAATAATAAGAGTAAGCACCGAATCACTGTGCTCACAGCCAGCACTCACTTGGACTTCTGTCGACCTTGTGAGATATTGTTATCCTTAATTTTGTTGTTGTTTAGTTGCTCAGTCATGTCCAGCTCTTTTGTGACCCCATGAACTGTAACCTGCCAGGCTCCTCTGTCCTTAGGATTTCCAGGCAAGAACACTGGAGTGAGCTGCCATTTCCTTCTCCAGGGGATCTTCCTGACCCAGGGATTGAACCCAGGACTCCTGCATTGGCAGGTAGATTCTTTACTACTGAGCCACCAGTGAAGCCACTATCCCCACCTTACAGATGAGGAAACAGAGGCTCAGTGAGGTTCAGGGTCCTGCGTAGGGACATAAACCAGGTGGATGCAGAAGCAGAATTAGAACATCCAACTGGGGAATTCTCTGGTGGTCTAGTGGTTAGGACTCTGCACTCTCACAGGGTTCAATCCCTGGTCAGGGAACTAAAATGCCACAAGCCTCGCAGCATGGCCAAAAAAAGGAGAACACCCATCCTTTGGATTCCAGAGTGATGTATGTATGTACGTGTATGTATGTGTGTGTGTGTGTGTGTGTGTGTGTGTGTGTGTGTATGTATATATATATATAGTATGCATGTATAGATATGTGTCTATACATATTCACTTGAACTACCAGCACACGTGTACAAAAAGGCACAAATCATAAGTGTACATTTTGGCGAATTTTCACAAACTAGACACACCCACGTAACCAGCACCCAGATCCCAAAACAGCACATCCCAACCCCCCCCCCAACCACCACATGTCCCCCATCAGTGACTGGCCATCCCAAGTGCAGTCACTACTCTGACTTCTAAGAGCAAAGATCAGTCTTGCCTGTTCTTGAATTCAATACAGATAAAATCATGTAGTATCTGCTGTTTGGTATACCTCATCTTTCACTCAGCATAATTTTTTTAAATTGAAGTGTAATGTATTTACAGTGTTATTAGCTTGCTTCTGATGTACAGACAAGTGATTCAGTTATACATATATGCATATTCTTTTTCATAATTCTTTCCCACTGTAGTTTATTATAGGATGTTGAATTTAGTTCCCTGTGCTATACAATAGGATCTTGTTGTTGATCTGTTTTTTATATAGTAGTTTATATCTGCTAATCCCAAACTCCTAATTTATCTCTCCCCCACCCCCAGCATTATGACCTTAAGATTCATCAGTGTTACATGTAACAGCGGCTTATTGGGTTTTTGTGGCTGCATAGTATTCCACTAGGTGCCTTCCTCCACCATTCATTTTACCTCCCTACAGCTGATGGGCATTTGCATTGTTTCCAGTTTGGGGATGTCATGGATGAAGCTATAATGAACAGTTTTTATTGTGGTTAAAATATACATAATGTAAAATTGGCTTCTTAACCATTTTTTAATACACTTTATTTCTCCAGAGCAGTTTTAGGTTCACAGCAAAATAGAGTGGAAAGTATAGAGATTTACCATGTGTTCCCTGCTGTCTCCCACACAGAGCCTCTCCCCCACCATCAACATCCCACACTGGGTGGTACATTTGTTACAATCGATTGTCACTTTGGCATGTCATTACCACCCAAAGTACTTCATTTACATTAGGGTTCACTCTTGGAGTTGCATATTCTATGTCTCTTTTTGACAATGTATAGGGCCACATATCCACTATATGGTGTCATATGGAATCGTTTCAATGCCCTAAAAATGGTCTATGCTCTGGCCCGTTCATTCATCCCCTCTTCCTCTCTTTTTTAAAATTACTATTATTTTAAATTTCTTATTTATTTTTTTGGCTGCGCTAGGTTGCTGTTCAGGCTTTTTCTAGTTGTGGTGAGCAGGGGCTACTGTATGTTGTAGCAGGCTTCTCATGGCGGCAGCCTCTCCTGTTGTGGAGCACAGGCTCTCGGGCTTCAGTAATGGCAGCACAAAGGTCCTAGAGCAAGCACGAAAGCTTCAGTAGTCACGGTGTACTTGTTTAGTTATTCTCGCAACATGTGGAAGTCTTCCTGGACCAGGGATCAAACTCGTGTACCCTGCACTGGCAGGCAGATTCTAATCTACTGTGCCACCAGGGAAGTCTTCCCCATCCTCTCTTGACCCCTGGCAACCACTGATCCCTTTACTGTCTCCATAGGTTTTTTTTTTTTCTTCACCACAAGGCATGCAGGATCGCAGTTCCCCACCAGGGATCAAACCCATGCCCCCTACAGTGGAAGTGCGGAGTTTTAACAACTAGACTGCCAGGGAAGTTCCTCCATAGTTTATCTTTTGCAGGATATGCTATAGTTGAAATCATCCAGTATTTAGTCTTTTCAGATTGGCTTCTCTTCCTTGTGTGCATGAGTGCTAAGTCACTTCAGTCATATCTGATTCCTTGCAACCCCATGGATTGAATCTCACCAGTCTCCCCCATCCGTGGGATTCTCCGGGCAAGAATACTGGAGTGGGTTGCCATGTCCTCCTCCAGAGGATCTTCCAGACCCAGGGATCAAACTGGCATCACTTATGTCTCCTGCATTGGCAGGCAACTCTTTACCACTAGCGCCACCTGGGAAACCGTCTCCCTTAGTAATATGCATCTATGTTTCTACCCACTTTTCATGGCTTGATAATTCATATATTTTTTTAGCACTGAGTACTATTCCATTGTCTGGATTACCATTTTACCCGTTCACCTCCTGAAAGACATCTTGGTTGCTTCCAAGTTTTGGCAATTATGAATAAAGATACCCTAAACATCTTTGTGCAGGTTTCTGTGTGGACATAGATTTTCAACTCGTTTGGGGAGTGTGATTGCGGGATCATATGGTAGGAGTATATTTGATTTTGTAAGAAGCCACCAAACTCTCTTCCAAAGTAACTGTGCCATTTTGCGTTCCCCCCAGCGATGAAAGAGGGTTCCTGTCCCTCCGCATCTTCATCAGCATTCGGTGTTGTCAGTGTTTTGGATTCGGGCCATTCTATTAGGTATGTAGTGGTACCTCGTTTCAATTTGCAATTTTCTAATGAAAATTACATTGACTGTCTTTTCATATGTTTATTTTCCATCTGTATTTTTCATTTGTGAAATGTCTGTTCAGATCTCTTCCCTGTTTTTCAGATTATTTGTTTTCTTATTGTTGAATTTGAAGAGATCTTTGTATGTTTTGGATAACAATCCTTTATCAGATATATAGATATATATATAGATATATATAACATTTTCTCCCAATATGTGGCTTGTCTTCTCATTCCTTGAACAATATCTTTCTCAGAGTGAAAGTTTTAATTTTTTTTAAAAATTTGACTATGCAGGCTCTTGGTTCCCATACATGGGATCTAGTTCCCAGACCAAGGATTGAACCCCAGGCCCCCTGCATTAGGAGTGTGGAGTCTTAGCCACTGGACCACCAGGGAACTTCCAGAATTTTTTTAATTTTAATGAAGTCTAGCTTATCAGTTCTTTCTTTCATGGATCATGCCTTTGATGTTATATCTAAAAAAATCATCTCTATCCCCCCAAAATAGAGATTTCCTCCTACATTATCTTCTAGGAGTTTGATAGTTTTGTGTTTTACATTTAGATCTGTGAGCCATTTTGAGTTAACTTTTGTGAAAGATGTAAGATTTGTGACAAGATTTTTTTTTTTTTTTGGCACATGGATGTCCAGTTGTTTCAGCGCTGTTTGCTGAAAAGACTGTCTTTGTTTCACTGTGTTGCCTTTCCTCCTTTGTGGGAGATCAGTTGACTATATTTATATGGGTCTATTTCTGGGCTCCCTGTACTGTCCCATTGATCTATTTGTCTCTTGTCAACAACACACTGTCCTGATTATGGCAGCTTTAGAGTAAGTCCTGAAGTCAGGTAGTGTCAGCACAATGACTTTGTTTTGCTCCTTCAATATGATGTTGGCTATTCTCACACAGCAGAGATGAGAGAGCCTGAATCTGATCCCAGCTCTGAGTCACTCTAGCTTTTGGATAATCCATCCAGGAGCTTCTCTTCTGGTACAATTATATATTTGCTTTTGTTTTTGCACAAACAGTATCATACTTCAGCTTGATTCTATCCCTTGTTTTTACTCAACACATTCAGGAGGTCATTTCATACCTTTCTTAACTTTTGTGTATAGATTGATACATAGTCGTCGTCCCCCCCCCCCCCCCCCCCCGCCCCCGCTACAGGGTATTCTGTTGAGCATGCTCTGTAATTATTTGGCGAGTTCCCACCAGACTTTTGCTCCTCCAGTAACTATCTGCAAACTAGTATCTTCTGCTCCCTCCACAAGTCTATGTATAGAAGAACTTCCTACTGGGTCAAAAAAAAGAAGTGCATTTACAATTCTGCACTTGGCCAGATCCCCTTGAAAGAAGCTGTCCCATGTGAGAAACAGAGGCTGTTTTAAATTCAGGGAGTGTTTTCAATCTCTGACTGAAGGCTGGATAGAGACAGGGGCATATCTTGCCCCCCCCCAACCCCTCTGGGCTTGACCTACTCTCCTGCCCATAAACGGATCCCTCTTCTGTTCCTCAAATGCCAGATGAGTTCCCACCTCAGAGCCTTTCCACTGGGAGTTCCTTTCACCTAGAATACATCCCCTCCTGATCTCTCCATGGCTCCCTCTTCCTCCCCTTTCACCTTCCTCGGGAAGCCCTTCCCAATTAAGCAGACCCATGGCACTTTCCATTGCCTCACCCAGTTTTATTTACAGGAAATAAGTAATAACCTGGCACTACCCTAGATTATCTTACCGTATTTACTTGTTGATTTTTCCCACCCCACAGAGAATAGGAGTTTTCTCTTTTTTCACACCCAGCATCGAGTACCTAGACCCCAGAGATCACGGAAGACATGTAGGTTCCCTACTCTCTCCCACTTCCCACCACCCTGCTCTATTTTTCTCCACGAAATGTATTCCCTTCCAACAAGTATAATTTGTTTATTCATTATGTGTATCGCCTCTCTCACTAGAATGTCAGCCCCAGAAGGGCAAGGATCTTGTTTTGTCCTCCGCAGCATCTCTTAACACTTAAAAGAGGGCACAGCACATAGTGCCTTTCACCAAATATTGGTTGAATGAATGAGGATCATAACCTCCATCCTCCGGGGCTGGCAAGGTTGTCCCTCTGGAGCAAAAGGCAGATTAAAGAGCAGGCCCCCCGCAGCAGGTGTGGCCATTTCCTCCTGCTCAGAATGGGCCTGAGGCCTCTAAGGGCTAGAGCCCCAGCGGAAGGGCCTTGGCCTTGCGGATGGGGGCGGGGCTCGCCGCGGGTGGGCGGGGTAATCCTGACCACGCCCCCACAGAGGCCCCGCCCAGCAGGAGGCCCCTCCCCTCCCATAAGCGGGCCTGGGTGCCCGCCCCGCCCGGTTCGTTCCGACCTTGCTGCGGCGCAGCCGGGGGCGGGAGGCCCGGAGGAGCGGCGGGAGGAGGGAGGGGCGGAGCGAGCGCAGCGCCGGGCGCAGTCTCCAATGAGCCGCGCGGAACCGGCGCCCCTGAGGACCCCAGCCCGCTGTTCCCCCTCCCCACGGCCCACCTGGTGCCAGGTAAGGGAACAGGTAAGAGTGCGGCGCTCGGGACCTCCGACCCAGATCTTTCTCAGGTCGAGGTGCTACGCCGGGCAGAGGCTGGGGGCCACTTGGCTCTCCCTGCCGCGGGGGTGGAGTAAAGGCATCTCGGTAGAAAGTGGGAGCCTCCTGCGAGCCTTCCTGGCCCCCGTCTTGGTACCCCAGAGCCCGCAGTCGCGGGTCCCAGCCCCCCATCCCTGCAGCATCCTTTCCACGCCGCAGGGAGGTTGCAATTTTTTTTTTTTTTTTAACCTTTCAGATGCCGCCAGCTCTTGGAAAGTGGTGGGGGTGCTTTTTGGGGGTGGATCCTGGGATGACTGTTCCCTCAGGATCCGACTGGCAGGTCTTCCGAGGGCTCCCTGCACCCTCCAGCGGGCCGTGCTCACAGATCCTGAGAGCCTGGCTATATCAGAAACCTGGGGGCAGGCCTGAGCCTGCCGACCTTGGCCAACCCCTTCCCCCCACTCACCCTGGCTGGCCAGTGGGTTGAGCCTTCTTTGCCTCCATCCTGGCAGTTAAGCCTGTGGGTTCCCAAGGGTCTCTGCCTTGTTTCTAAGTCTCTGTTAAAGCAGGGTGCTCCTCCCCAGACCTGAGGTTAATTAAAATAGCTTTCATCTGGTCTGACAGGATTCCCCGCCCACTGCCCCGCCCCCTGGATATTGGCTGGCCTCCATTCCCTTGCTTCAGGCGGGCAGGTGCCAGGTGACCAAAGGAGGCTGGCAGGAAAGCCACCGTAGCTCCCCAGTTCGCCTCACCTAGCGCTGTGGGTCATCTGAAACAAGTCGCCAAGGGCCCAGTGTGGGCTGGGGGGCTCAGCAAAGGTGGGAGTCAGGGTGGAAGAAGTCCTGGCCCTGCATCTGGAGACTCCACAGTGACACCATCCCACAGCACCAGCCCCAGTCAGCTGGGCGATACCACTGGGGGGTGAAAAGTTCCCCTCAGAATTTGGGGGTGAACTGAGCTGGATGGGCCCCTCCAGGTCCTTCATGATGCTTTCTTGGGAGCCCTGCATAGCCTGGGTCCCAGAGAGTGAAGTGGGTTTCACCTATTCTCTGCAGGTCATTTGATGTCTCCAAGCCTTTATTTGCCTACCTGTAAAATGGGAATGATAACTGAGAGACCCTTCATGAGTAGCAGTGAATAATCAGGAAGGGAGGTGGCAGGCACTTAGCTCATTGTCAAACACTTAACAATATTCCGTAAATGTAAACAGTAGCTGTCACCCTTGTAATAATAATTGCTATTTATTGTCTCCTGGCTGTTTCAGACTTTCCTTTTGTGCATCTGATAGCTGGTGATGCCCCAACCACCATTTCTTCTACCTGAAAGAAAAGCCTTTGACAGGACTCTCAGTGAGGGTGGGGTCATTTGCTAATCCTATGGCATTCCTTAGCTCTCGGGGTCAAGGCGAGTTGACCCTGTCTTCCTGGGCACATCAGGCCCTGGGCACAGCGTGCCCTGACCTCTGGCCACCACCCTGTCCTTGTCCCTTGGGGCACACATCACTCATGTGCCCACAATTTGCCCTCCAGCTTCACCTGGCCAAACCCACGTCAGGCAGATGGAGAGCATGGACGTGGCTCCAAGCATCCCACTGGTCCCCATCCTCCCCTCCTCCCAATATGGGCTGATGGTCGCATCCCCTTCATTCTGCTGCTCAGTAACTTTAAAAATAACAAGAGTCGTCCTGTCCCCACTGAGGGCTGTAACCTGACCCTAGTTGGATTCTGCTCCATCAGATCCTGGAGTAGGAGGACTCAGCACTTGAGAGCTGGGCACCCTGGTGCTGTGGCTGCCCTGCCCCCGCTCACTGGCTAACCTCAGACCAGCCTCTCTCCCTCCCTTTCTGGGCCTCGGTTTCCCCATCTGTAAACTGTGATTCAAATAGCCTGTGATGCTGGAGTGCGAAACTTTGTTTATGCCGGTGAGGAAGATAGACAGCTGGGCTCCCAGGTGGGTGCCTGGCCATGAAATGGGTTGGCTTTACCTGAAGCGGAGGGTGTCGGGAAGGGATTCCCCTGTGACTGGGAGTAGGCGTGGGGAGAGCCAGTTCAGCCCGTGGTCCTGCCAACCCCCACCCCGTGCTGGTCTCTGGCAGGTCTGCCTTCTCTCCCACTTCTGAATGTCAGCTCCTTCCTGAGGGCTAAAGGGACTCCTCGTCCCACCCCGAGGTGAGCTGCAGCCAAGGTGGCTGGCAGTGCCTGGGCAGCCGGCAGGCCCGCAGAGGCCCCAGGCCAAGAGCATCCCTCCCCAGGCTCTGTCTCACGCTCACCCACTTGCTGGCTCCCTGAGGCCTCTGCATTGCAGCAGACAGGAGCCTAAGCCGGCAGCCCTCCCAGGGGTGGAACAAGGGCCTGCGCAGGGGGTTGTCTGTTCCCCCATCCCTACCTCCACCCACTCCCCTGCCCTGGATTCCCCTCAGCCCAGGCTTCCCTGGAAGAGTCAGCTGCTGACAGGGCAACCGTCTTCTCTAGGACGGACTTGAGTCTTCCTAGAAGAACTGTGGTGACAGAGCCCCTCAGGCTTGGGGACCATCACGCCTCTGTGTCGCCTCTGCAGCTCATACCCTTCTGAGCATCGTTAAAAGTCTTGCCTACTGCACCACAGCCCCCCGGCCCCGAGAGGCTGGTTTGAAGAATCACAGCTTCAGAGTTGAGAGCCCAGATTTTAGAACTCAAAGGCCTGGGTTCACATCCCAGCTCTGCTACTTCCTCCTAGCTGGGTGACCTGGAGCAGGTCACTTAACCTCTGTGTGCCTCAGTTTTCTCGCTGTAAAATGGGGATAACAGTGAAACATACCTCATAAGATTCTTGTGGGGGATGACTGCATGTAAACCACTCAAAACAGTGCCAGGCGCACAGTAACATCAGTGTCTGCTGTTATTACTCTCGCTGCTGTCCTTGTCAGTGTTGTCACTGTCCTCAGTTCTCTTGGCGGAGCCGCCTCTGGCATAGGCTCTGTTCTCCTTTGATGAAGGCTCTGTGTTTGCACTTGATGAATGTGTGTGTGTTTGTGTGTGTGTGTATATATATACATATATATATGTATTTTTAAATTGAAGTATAGTTGATGTGCAATGTTGTATTTGTTTCTGTTGTACAGCAGAGTGATTCAGTTATATATATAGTCTTTTTCATATTCTTTTCCATTATGGCTTATTGCAAGATATTGAACATAGTTCCCTCTGCTATACAGCAGGTCCTGGTTGTTTATTTTATATATAGTATCTGCTATGTTTATCCTAATTTATCCAAACTCCTAATTTATCCCTCCCCTCCCCCTCTCCCCTTTGGTAACCACAAGTCTGTTCTCTTTGTCTATGAGTGTTTCTGTTTCATTAATATTTGTGTCATATTTTAGATTCCACATATAAGTGATATCATGTGGTATTTGTCTTTCTCTTTCTGATTCACTTCACTTAGTGTGGTAGTCTCTAGGTCCATCCACATTCCTGCAAATGGCATTATTTCATTCTTTTTTATGGCTGAGTAGTATTCCATTGTGGCTGATTCATGTCAATGTATGGCAAAAACCACTACAATATTATAATTAGCCTCCAACTAATAAAAATAAATGAAAAAAAAGCACATGGCTCACATGAAGGGCAGGACTGCTCGGAAGCGCTGTGCCTTGTCATTGTTTGCTCATAGTAACTGGACACCTGCTGTTGTGTCAAGAATGCAGTTCTGAGGTTGTGGGTCAGGTGCTGGGGCCCTTCACACACATGAGTCCCAGCTCAGGCCTTTGTTACCAGCGTGACATGAGCCACGTGCTTTTGCCTCTCTGTGCCTCAGTTCCCCCAGCTGTAAATGGGAATGTGGAAACACTGGCCTCCTGGAGTCATGTGAGGTTTCTGGCATTCCAGAACATCCAGTCAGTCACCTTGGTCTGAGCCTTGGAGCTGTGAGGGAAAGGGTCTCTCAGGCTGCCCCCCACCCACTGCCCCGTTCCCAGTTGCTCCGCACAACCACCCTTCCTGTTGCTCCATGCCTCTCTCCTCCTTTGGGGACTGTGGAGCTTTGCCCATTCTGCAGATGGGGCATCAGAGACCCTCAGGTCTCCTTGTCTCCCTCAAGCACATCAACACATTCCTACCTTAGGGCTCTCGCCATGTCTGTTCCACCTGTCCAAAATGCTTTTCCCCCAGGTATGCACATGGCAGACTCCCTCACCTCTTTCAGTCTTATTCAAGTGTTACCTTCACAGCAAAGTCTTCCCTGTACCCCCATTTAAAATTGCCCTCACATCCCTTACACCCAACTCTTCCCCCCAAGCCCTGTCTCTTAACACACTGTATCACTTACTTATTCTACTTATTGTCTGTCTCTGACATGAATGTCCCATCTCCTCAAGAGCAGGGATCTTTGTTACTTTGGTTCACAGTTAAATCCCCAGCACAAGGACTTCCCTGGTGGTCCAGTGGCTAAAACTTAGCGCTCCCAGTGCAGGGGGCCCAGGTTCAATCCCTGGTTGGGGAACCCAACCCACATGCCCCAACTAAGAGCTTCAATGCTGCAACTAAAAATCCTGCATGCTGCAACTAAGACCCGATGCAGCTAAATAAATAATTTTTAAAAATCCTTAGCACAAAGAACAGAGTCTGGCCCACAGGGGGTACCCAATAAATATTCCCTGAATGAGTGGAACCTTCACCCTACCCCTGTGTAATTTGTCACTGTCATTTTATCGATGAAGAATCTGAGGCTCAGAGATATCAAGTGACTTCCTCAAGGTCACACAGCCAGCAAGCAACATGCCCTCACCCCTCACCCCACTGTTCCCTACAGGTCTGGCCTCGCCCCACAGACAATGGCCTTGCCCCCATGAGCTAGAGCCTGCCCCTCGGTGCCTGCCCACCCCTGGCCAGCAGGATGCAGCTGTGGAAGGCAGTGGTGGTGACCCTGGCCTTCATGAGTTTGGACGTCGGCATGACCACGGCCATCTACATCCTTAGCCACCTGGACCGCAGCCTGCTGGAGGACATCCGCCACTTCAACATCTTTGACTCGGTGCTGGACCTCTGGGCAGCCTGCCTGTACCGCAGCTGCCTGCTGCTGGGGGCCACCATCGGCGTGGCCAAGAACAGCACCCTGGGGCCCCGGAGGCTGCGGGCCTCGTGGACGGTCATCGCCCTCGTGTGCCTCTTTGGGGGCATCTACACCATGGTGAAGCTGCTGCTCTTCTCCGAGGTACGCAAGCCAGTTCGGGACCCGTGGTTTTGGGCCCTCTTCGTGTGGACCTACGTTTCACTCGCTGCCTCCTTCCTGCTCTGGTGGCTGCTGTCCACGGTGCAGCCAGACGCCAAGGCCCTTGGGCGGGGTGCCGGGGCCGAGGGCGAGGGTGAGGGCGAGGGCTTCCCTGGGGAGGACCGGCCCGCGCCCGAGCAGGCGTCCGGGGCCACGCTGCAGAAGCTGCTGTCCTACACCAAGCCCGACATCGCCTTCCTTGTGGCGGCCTCCTTCTTCCTCATCGTGGCGGCTCTGGGTAAGTGCCGGCCCACGGGGCCTTGTGGGCACCCAGGGAATGTGTTAGAGGGGGTGTGACCAACTCTTCTTTCCTCTCAAGTTTTTTTTTTTTTAATTTTATACAACTTTTAAAATTTTTACTTATTTATATATTTCTGGCGGTGCTGGGTCTTTGTTGCTGTGCGGGCTTTTCTCTAGTTGTGGCAAGTGGGGGCTACTCTGGTTGCGACGCGCAGGGTTCTCACTGCGCTGGCTTCCCTTGTTGCGGAAAACAGGTTCTAGGGCGCGTGCTTCAGTAGTTGTGGCTCCTGGGCTCTAGAGCACAGCCTCAGTAGTTGTGGCGCACGGGCTTAGCTGCTCCGCGGCATGTGGGATCTTCCTGGAGCAGGTATCTAACCCGCATCTCCTGCATTGGCAGGCGGATTCTTTACCACTGAGCCACCAGGGAAGCCCCATCCTCTCCAGTTTTAATATCTTCCTCCCATGGTTCAAACATCATGTTAAAACACAAAGGTAAACATTGAGAGTTTCACCCTAATTCTGCCCCTGACAACCCTAAATCCCCCTGCCCAGACCTAACTACAGGAAATGGTTCCAGCAACTTCCAAGTGGGCAGGAAACCACTTTTATTCATTTCTTACATATGCCTCCAGTGTTTCTTTACCCAGCTGTAAGCAAAGGAGTGCACGTCTCTCTCCCCCCACCTTCTGCACTCTAGTCTACGTCTTGCTTTTCTCACTTAATATATCCTGGGGACTTTCCTGGTGGTCCAGTGGTTAAGATTCTGAGCTTCCAATGCAAGGGGCATGGGTTCAATCCCTGATAGGGGAGCTAAGATCCCACATGCTGCACTGTTGTTGTTGTTCAGCTGAAGTTTGTGTCTTGACTCTTTGCAATCCCATGGAATGCCAGGCTCTGTCCTCCACTATCTCCCAGAGCTTGCTCAAATTCATGTCCACTGAGTCAGTGATGCCATCCAATATCTCATCCTCTGCACCCCCTTCTCCTTTTAGCTGTGTTTCTCAGCATCAGGGTCTTTTCCAGTGAGTCTGTTCTTTGCATCAAGTGGCCAAAGTATTGGAGCTTCAGCTTCAGCATCAGTCCTTCCAATGAATATTCAGAGTTTATTTCCTTTAGAACTGACTTGTTTGATCTTGCTATGCAGTGCAGCCATATAAAACAATAACAACAATAATATATCCTAGAATTTTCCCAGTTAGTTCCTCATTTTGTTTTTGACTGCATAATACTCCACGGTGTGACTGTACCATAGATTATTTAGTCAATCTGTTGTTGGACTCTTAGGTTGTTTTGAGTCTTTTTTTTCTTTTTTTTAATACACATTTCCTATAAATGTGGGTATATCTAAAGAAGTTATCCTACAGATAAGTGGCATTTCTGGGTTCAAAGCATTTTTTATAATGAAGCAGAATAGAGCCATCAGGTTATGTAGTCTGTGATGAGCTTAAGTTGCATGATACTATCCTTAAGTTGCATGAAACACCTGTGTGTGTCCTGGTTGGTGATATAAATTGTATCTGCTACTCTGCATCTGGTCCAAATAGTTTGAAAGTACCACTTCAGAAACACAGTGGAGAGATGACATCACAGGGTGGAAACTCTATGGGTTCTGGGGGCAACAAGCCCCAGGTACCAATTCCATTCTTGCTCCAGGCCTGGCTTTGTGACCATGGGCGGGTGATCCAACCTTCCATAGCTTCACATCCTTCTTATGTGAAATAGGAATTGCTAGCATCCTTGTTCCAAGATGTTGTAAAGTTGGAATAAAGACAGAGAGGAGAGGGATGTCCCTGGTGATCCAGTGGCTAAGACTGAGCTTCCAATGCAAGAGTCATGGGTTCGATCCCTGATCAGGGAACCAAGATCCCACATGCCACAAGGCACAGCCAAACAAACAAACAAAAAGGACTGAGAGGAGGAGAGGTACAGAGTTTGCTACATATGGTAAGTACCCGGATGTTTGCTCCTGTGAGTCGTTACATATTTAACTCACAGAGGGACAGTCTGGGAGCAGCCACAAAGCCACAGTGATCTCAGAGAGGACTGGCGAGCCCTAGAGCCCATTTCCACGTACCAGCTGCCCTCTGTCCTCTCAGTTCCGGCCCCGTGACCGCTGTGTGATTTTAGGCACATCTTCTCGTCTGTAAAACGGGCATCTCAGCAGTTGTGAGGTTTAGTGAGCTCATACACGTAGGATGCCTTGGACAGCTCCTGGCACATAGAAAGCTCCCAATAAGTTTTAGTGGCCATGAGTATTGAGATGACCCCTTTTCATTTAACCAGACTGCTGGTGCTCCTTACACTATGAGGTCAGCGGTCTGCTTGTGAGCAGCCTACTGGGATTCTATTGACCCTGGTTCTTAGCCACAGCTTTGGTGACAAGCGAGTCCTGCGTCTACTCTGCTGCCTCCCCTAGCAGGCTTGGAGCCCCTTGGGGTCAGAGGTCAGGTCTGACACCTTCAGGACCCCCAGTACCTGGCATAGAATGAGACTCACTGAATAGATGGATGAGTGAATGAGTGAATGACCATCCTGCCCATGTTGGCAGTTGTCTCCCCCACGGCCTTTATTCCCCCACCTGCCAGGGTGCTATTGTCAGCTGTTGTGTGCTTAGGGAATACAGATGTCCTAAAATACAGCCAAGCAGATTGTGCCACAGCCTGTAGGGTTATGTTGAGGTCAAGGGCTTCAACTTGAGATCAGGCCCACAACTTTACTCATTATTTTATTTATTTATTTATTTTCATTATTTTATTTTTTTTGGCCATCCCATGTAGCATGTGGGATCTTAGTTTCCTGACAAGGGATCAAAGCTGCACCCTCTGCATCAGAAGTGTAGATTTTTAACCACTGGACAACCAGGGAAGTCTCAGATAATTGTAGTCGAGTTTACTAACAGTGGCCAAACCTCAGTGTCTCATCTTGTAATTAGGGCTTTGTCAGGGTTTTGTGAATTTTTTTTTTTTTTGGCTGCACCGCAGGGCATCTTAGTTCCCTGACCGGGGATTGAACTTGTATCCCCTGCAGTGGAAGTGCAGAGTCCTAACCACTGAACCACCGGGTAAGTCCCAGGTTATTGTAAAAATTAAATGAGGTGAAGCACAGTGCCTGGCAAAACCAGGTACTTCATAAAAGTTAAATACTATGGCTATTGGGCTTCCCAGGTGGTGCAGTGGTAAAGAACCTGCCTGCCAATGCACAAGATGCATGTTCACTTCCTGAGTCGAGAGGATCCCCTGGAGAAGGGAATGGCAACCCAGTCCAGTATTCTTGCTTGGAGAATTCCATGGACAGGAGAGCCTGGCAGGTTACAGTCCATGGGGTTACAAAGAGTTGGACACAACTGAGCGACTGAGCACACACGCGTGCACTCTATGATTAACAATTAGTTTTCAATCCGTAAGCATCCAGGAGGGCCCAGATTTTTCTGAAACCTTATAATCTAAAAGAAAAACTGCCCATTATAGTAAAAAAAAAAATAAAAGATTAATTTTAGTGTTGAGTATCTCCCATTGTGATTCTTTAATATGGATTTCATGGCAACCTAACTACAATAACCTTGGGCAAATGACTTAACCTTTCTGAGCCCCAGTTTCCTCATCTGTAAAATGGGGAGAATGATAATACTACACTTATAGGATTATTGGGAGGCATTTGAGACTTGAAAGAGATGAATGAGTCGCTATCTGGGGTAACAGTGGTCCAGGCAGAGGGAACAGCCTGTGCAAAGGTCCTGAGGCAGAAAGCTGCCTGATTATTGAAGGAAAAGCAGAGAGAGTTGAGGGAGAGTAGAAGATAGTAGCTCAGCACCAGGGCCAGTCGTGCAGGGGGTGTCAGCCACTGTGAGGATTTTGATCCAGGATGAGACGATCTGATTTGGGTTTCACAGGCTCCTGCTGTCTGCTGGGAGTGGAGAACAGATTGATGGGGACAAAGGTGGCAGCAAGGAGAACCAAGACTTTGTTGAGACCATCCAAAGGATGTTGACAAAGCTGGGTGGGACAGCAAGAGGGAGAAGCAGCAAATTCTGAAAATATTTTCAAGGCAGAGCCGCAAGATTTGCTGGCAGACTGGAGAGTTTCACCTGGTTCTTGGGCAGATTCAACAAAAGAATTTGCCTACCTGCTTATTAGTTCAGCCTCCCACCCAGCAAGGGCTCCATGAACGTCTATGGTGGTTAATATCATCACTGGTGCTTGTTGGACCAAAAATTCTGCTGGAGCTCCTCAGGCCCTTTACTTCCCCATAGGTAAACTGAGGCAGAGATGCAGCTGAGGCAGAACTTCTGGCTGGAGACCCCATCTGGCCAAGGGCAGGGGAGATGAAGGCCAGCTTTGTAGCCTCCCTGTGGTTCCTGTGCCAAGACCAACAGAGGGCGCCAGAACCCCATGGAAGGCCTCACTGTCTTGGCTGAGCCAGTTGTGCAGAGCTGACTGGGGAGGGACCCACCAGACCTGCACAGGGTGCATGGATTGACTTTTATTGTGCACCTCCTCCATGCCTGGTGCTGACCCAGGCTGTGGCTGCTGGAAGAGCTGCAGTGAAAACTGGACACAGCCTGGTCTGACCACCTCCCATTTCATGTCCATCATTTCCATGAGAGCGGGCCATTCATTCCAAGTTATTGGGAGGGAAGGCACAAGGAATGAGCCCCCAGACTGGAAGCTGGTTTGGGTTTGAGTCCTGCCGTCCTCTTAATTGCTGTGTGACGCCAAGCAAGTTACTCAGCCTCTCTGAGTGCCCCATTCCACCTTAGTGAAATGGGGATGACATCTCTGCCAGATGCCTCTTTCCCCCTACCACACCCAGGATTGATGTGAAGACACAGTGAGACACATGGGTAAGAAATTATCTGGCAAGCTGTAAAGTGCCCCACCAAGAGGGGCGGGGTAGCAGTTCTAGCATTGCTCAGAAGCAGAACATCAACATCTTCTGAGCTTCTAGACTTTGGACTCTGAACCCTCCGGCAGAGAGAAGAAAGAAGTGAACTTTGGTGGCTGCCTGCCACCAATCGGTGGTGTGACTGGGTGAGCCTCAGCTCATCTTTTTGGCTCCACTTTCTTCATCTGTAAGATAGATGATAACAGGGTCACCTTCTGAGTCCTCTTGCAGAGGGGATGAACTATCACCCGGCAGCCCCGTGGCTCTGTGTTCTCCATGTCTGGGAGCCATGATTCATGATAACAGGACCCAGTCAGTATAGACTAAATAACACATTTAATGTGTTCCTGATCTCTGAAAAGAGGGGGCCCCCTCCCCACCCCTGCCTGGCTAATAAGCAGGAGTTTGCAGAGAGAGAAAACCCCACGAGTGGAATAAGCAGTGTGGGTAGTCTGGGGGCTTCCAGAGCCCCCTCCTGGCTGCAGACGCCCCCCTGAGCCCGCTCTGTCTCCGGCAGGAGAGACCTTCCTTCCCTACTACACTGGCCGGGCCATCGACAGCATCGTCATCCAGAAAAGCATGGAGCAGTTCAGCACGGCTGTCATCGTCCTGTGTGTGCTGGCCATTGGCAGGTAGCGACCCCCTGCCTGCCCCACCCCCCAGGCCTGCAGTTGGGGGCGGGAATGGGGTAGCTCCTGAGAGGGGAAGGCGCCAGGAAGGCCCAAGAAATGCCCCTGGGGGTGGGCGGTGAAGGCCTGTCCCTCAGTTGGTTCCCATGGTAACCAACAACCCAGCTACTGGCTTAGTTCTGCCCATTCGGTTGAGCCCCACCCTAGAGCCACACCCCTCCTGTCCCTAAAAATAACTTCAGTCCTCGGGGTTCCCCTTTCGGCACCACCCCACCCCCAGCTATTTTCCAAGCAGGAAACAAGGGCCAGCTTTGTCTGTGCTGTTCTGGAAAGGCGAGAGGCCCGACGGGTGGAACTGGGCTCCTCGCCCGCAGTAAAAGAAGTCCCCCTGTGCCCTCACGTTGGGGGCTCCTTTTGGGAACAGGGTGACCCCCCAGCAGTGTCAGCCCCAGAGAGTGGGCTCAAGGTTGGGGTCCCTCGCCCCTGTGAAGGCCCTGGCCTGCCAGCACTGGGGAGGGAGCAGTGGGGGGGGCGGGGGTCAGTTGCCGGAAGGACGTCGTGCTATACATAACATCTCTTATCTGCAATTAGCTCATTTGCCGCAGGTATTCGGGGCGGCATTTTTACCCTCATATTTGCCAGACTGAACATTCGTCTCCGTAACCGTCTCTTCCGCTCGCTGGTGTCTCAGGAGACAAGCTTCTTTGACGAGAATCGCACAGGTTGGTCTTCCCAGGGGCCTTGGGTGACCTGGGGCTGGGCCCAGCCAGGTGGGCCTGCCCCACGTTGAGGATTTAAATGGGTGAATCAGTGCTTTCAGTCCTGCTGGCTCTCCCTGCCATCCAGTTCAGGGTGGGGATGCCCCTGGTGGCTGGCGTGGGCCTCCAGCCCCCCTGAGCCCTGGGGAGCTGGTCCGAGGTTTTGCTGTGAGCTATGGCCACTCTAGGACCCTGGCCAGGCCATCCTGTCCCTGAAGCAACCAGGGCCTCACCTCCCACTAACTTGCGGGAAGCACATGGGCCAGGACTCCTCCGGCCCGTGGGGGTGAGCAGGGCAGGGGTACAGGACAGAGCAGGGAGGCTGAGACCCAGTCTCTGAGGCAGCTCAGCTTGGGTGCAGGCCCCATTCCTGACTTCACCTCCCTGAGCCTCTGTTTTCTCCTCCATAAGATGAGAACAATAACAGGAGATGCCCCACGGGGTTGTTGTCAAGGTCTGAGCCCAGTATCCAGCCACCAGTAAGGGTTGGTCTGGTCCTCTCTCTTCCATAGCTCAGACTGTTATTACCATGAGGCTGAAGAGGGGAGTGACCCCTCTGCCAGTGACAGGGAGGGACCACGGGTTCGGCTCTGGCTCAGTCACGGACATGCTGTGTGGCGATGAGCAAGACTCCCCCTCTCTGAGCCTCAGCTGCCTCCTCTGTGCTCTGGGAGATGCTGAAGCTGAAACCAGATGCTGGTGACAAGGGCTGGACTCAGAGCAGCCCTCAGGCTGTTGACTCACCCTGTCCCCCCTGCAACCCAGCCCAGAAGACGGGGAAGGTCCAAGTTCCCCAAGGGTCCCCCGCCCCCGCCCTCAGTGGCCCTGTTACTGCAGAGGGAGCTGAGAGGCCTGTGTTCCAGGGGACCTCATCTCCCGCCTCACCTCGGACACCACCATGGTCAGCGACCTGGTCTCCCAGAACATCAACATCTTCCTGCGGAACACGGTTAAGGTCACAGGCGTGGTGGTCTTCATGTTCAGCCTCTCGTGGCAACTCTCGTTGGTCACCTTCATGGGGTTCCCCATCATCATGATGGTGTCTGACATCTATGGCAAGTACTACAAGGTAGGCCCCGCCTGATCCCCACTGGGGTCTCCCCACCAGCAGCTCTCAAATGATCCCTTAGGATGGGCTCAGAGGGCCACTGAGGGCTAGTGAGGGACTTGTCTTAAAACTGAGTTTGCATTCATTCATTCGTTCAGTCATTCAATAAATATTTATTAAGCACCTACTAAGTCCCAGGCACTGGGATACATCAATCAGACAGGACCCTTGTCCCCAGGGAGCTTATATTCTAATAGGAGAGCCAGCCAATAAATAGAAACAATGATAATGATGGAAATATATAATACAGTCATAGCTCAGTTGGTAAAGAATCTGCCTGCAATGCAGGAGACCCGGGTTCAATTCCTGGGTCGGGAAGATCCCCTGGAGAAGGAAATGGCAACCCACTCTAGTATTCTAGCCTGGAGAATCCCATGGACAGAGCAGCCTGGCAGGCTGCCCCCTGCAGTCCATGGGGTCATAAGGGTCGGACACAACTTAATGACTAGAGATACAATATAATGAAAGTTGGAGGAGATAAGGAGATAAATGAAATAGAGAGCATTGGGGTTGGTTGCAGTTTTATTTTATTTTTAAAGTTAAGTGTCTTTCTTTTGCTATCCTTTTTAAACATTTTTATTTATTTTGTTTTTGGCTGTGCTGCATCGTCATTGCTGCGCTTGGGCTTTCTCTTACTGCAGTGAGCAGGGACTACTTTCTAGTTGTGGTGGACGGGCTGCTCGTTGCGGTGGCTGCTCTTGTTGCAGAGCACGGGCCCTGGAGTGCAGGCTCAGCAATTGAGGTGCACTGGCTTAGCTGCCCCAAGACATGTGGGATCTTCCTGGACGACGGATGGAACCCGTGTCCCCTGCATTGGCGGGTGGATCCTTAACCACTGGACCACCAAGGAGGTCCCAGGCTGCAATTTTAAATTGGTCTTTCTGAGAAGGTGGCCTTTGAGTAAAGAGGTGGACATATTGGGGAAGCTCGTTCCAAGCAGAGGGCAAAGCCAGTGCAAAGGCCCTGAGGTGGGAATGTGACTGACCTGTTTGAGGACCACAGGAAGGCTGGTGAGGCCAGAACCAGGAGTGAGGAGAGAGCCGGGAGGTGGTGGGGGAGGGGTTAGATGGTATAGGCCTTTGTGGGAAGTTTGGGTTTCACTCTGAGTGCAAAGTTTGCTCTCTTTCTATAGAGTGTATGTTCAAGGTTGGGGCCGGGGGTGGAGGCGCTCAGGCCCCCATGATCGAGGCCCTCACCCACGATGCAGTGACGGGCAAGCAGCAGTTGCCTCCGGCTGCCTCCAGCGCTGCCTCTGTCAGAAGGATCAGCCTGTAAGCTAGGCCCCTGCCTCACCTTCCTTCTGCTTCCCACAGTGGTGGGTGCCTCTGAGCCCTCAGGGACCCAGGCTGGGTGCAGGCAGGTACAGGCAGCCTCTTCCCCAGTGATCCAGGCCTGAGGGGGACAGGGGCCCTCCTGACCAGGGTGCTTGGACCCTGAGCTCCCCACTTGGTCAGGACCCTTAGTGCCCATGACCTGAGGCCAGCACCTAAATGAGTCCATTCCCCACAGCCCACTGTGTCACCCTCTTGCAGAGCCCAATCACCCAGGAGGGCCCTCTCCCCACCAGCTCTGGATCACTGGCCTCGCTGTTTTCGTTCCTGAGGAGAGAAAGTAAATATATGAGTTGGAGTCGGAGCAGTTTCCCTTCCACCCCACCCTTCCTGCCTTCCTGCCAGCCCCTGGGAGGGGCCAGGAAGCCCTGGAGCGCCCTGCATCACATCAGCCCTGCCTCTGTGCATACCTCAGGCTCCACCTTCAAGTTCAGGGGTGAGGCCTCAAGCAAGCCCTATTTAGGTCTCATACCTGTACCCCATGTGTAGGATACCATCATTGAGTCATCACCACAAGCCACACACATTGTCCACAGCCAGACATGACTCAAGGCAGTGTGGCTCCTCCCAAGGTGCCTGAGCCTGAGTACAGTGCGTGCTTCCAATGGCCTGAGCATGACTTGCAGGTCATGAGATATGCCAATGTAGGGGCCTCCTGGGCAGCCTTCCTGGCTGGTGTGAAGTTCTGAGTGTGGTAACTATCACAAAGCCTGAATAGCAAGGCCCAGGGACTGCTTCCAGAACTCTGTGGGCAGCAGTCCGGTGGTCATGTACTTGGAACCACTTCTCAGCCATCCATCCCCAGTTATAATCACACGATGTGGGCAGATTTCATAGCTCGTGGCCTCCACCACCATCTAGAACTCTGCTAAGAGTTCTGGAATCTCTGTGCCAACTTTTAGTCTCTCACATAATTTAGTGTATATTGCTGGATGTAAATGGTGCCTCCTTAATAGGGAGTGTTGCTTGTGCAGTATACAACCTGAACAACCATCCAGAGCATCCCTGCTCTTATGCCAGCTCAGGATCAGGTATCAAGACTCGTTTTCTGAGAAGATTATGTATGGTCATGCCTAACTTCCGCTGAATACTAGAGATAACTTCATGATCAGCGCCCCATCCCTCAGGAGATAGAGCCTCAGGAGCTCACCCCCAAAGCCCAGCTGGGGTCTGTTGTCTGAGCTCAGCAAATCATGCTTCTAGCTGATTCTAGGAGATGGGAGAGGAAGGGCAGCTAGGTCTCATCCCCTTGTCCCTGGAACTCCTTGCATAGATCTGACACCAACTAAAGACAGAAAACCCCGAGACCTGGGGCTCGGGCAGAGGGTGAGCCTGTCTGTTTTGAGGTCTCCTCCTCTTTGTCCCCACTCCCGCCCATAGAGGCTCTCCAAAGAGGTCCAGAGTGCTCTGGCCAGAGCCAGTAGCACAGCCGAGGAGACCATCAGCGCCATGAAGACAGTGCGGAGCTTTGCCAACGAGGAGGAGGAGGCGGAGGTGTACTCGCGGAAGCTGCAGCAAGTGTACAAGCTGAACAGGAAGGAGGCCGCAGCCTACATGTACTACGTCTGGGGCAGCGGGGTACGTGCCCCCAGCCTGGGCAGGTCTGACACAAAGATGGGGGACCCCTTGGTCAGGACATTAACGCAGGTCCCTGCATGCTGGTGTGACCCTTGACTTGGTCCTGACTTTCTGCTTGTCCTCAGAGGATCTTTCTGGAAAGAAATGTAGACTCCTGTGAATGTCCCCCCAGGACACCCCCTCTTACCTCTCACCTGGGTGTGGGGTGGCCGGGCAGGAACTTTCTTTTCCCTGTTGGAGAGACACCCCTGCCAAGGTGGGAAGTCACCCCGAGGCCACCTGGGGATCCGACCTGGGCGGCTTCCCAGCAGGTCCTAGAGCATCCGGCTCACTCCCTGGGGATGCGTTCCAGCCCCTCCTGGAGAAGGAGCACGTGGGGCCTGTCGCTGTGTGATGGCCACACCTGAGGGTGGGATGTTGGGGAAGAGCTGGGGTAGGCATGAGGAGGGTTTGGAATTTAGGGCAAGGAAGGAGCCGGTGGTCTACAGGCAAGCAGGGGATAAGGACCTTCTGGGACCTCCCCCACCCAGGGTAACCCCTCCTCAAAAGTGCCAGCCAGAGGGGAGAAAGGCCTGAAATCCAGCTAGTCAAGTCTCCTGACGGTCTGCCCACCAGCAAGGGTGCCTCTTGCTGCTTGTGCAGAGGCACCGTGGCCCAGCCGTGGGTCTAGTTCCGGCCCAGCATCGCTGGCTTGAAATGAGGAGGGCAGATGGGGACCCCGAGTGGGTTGTGTCATGGGTATGCAGGTTCCACTCCTCTCACAGACACTCCCCCAGCCCTGGAGGAGGCGGGAGGCAAGCGCACCCCAGACACAGCCCCTCCTTCCTGGTAATACAGACCTCGTCTGCTTGGCTGGGCGTGCTGTGTGACCTTAGCCAGAGGACTCAGCCTCTCTGAACCATGCTCTTCCCAATAAGGAGGAGACGAATAGCTCCAGTTTGGCCTCACTGAGGCGCTTAGGAACTCTGTGTGTGTGTGTACACGCCAGGGCCTGACAAAGAAAGCCTTGTTCCCAAGCAGGCTCATGGCCTGTTCCAGCAGGGGGCCTTTGCAGGGTCCCTAGTGGGAGCGGGGAGGGCGTGAGTGACAGAGGGGCACCAGCTTGTGGGAAGCCGTCCCTGCCGCTGGCTGCGCTTGCAGTTTATGACTATGAGTGCAGAGTTCACAGCTGCTCTCATCTCCCCTGCAGCCCGTGGGGCGGGGAGACAGAGGGAATGGGGTTGTGGATCTGAGCCAAGGCCCCCCGTGAGTCAGACTCCGCTTTCCATCTGCCCTCCAGCTCACACTGCTTGTGGTCCAGGTCAGCATCCTCTACTACGGGGGCCACCTCGTCATCTCGGGGCAGATGACCAGTGGCAACCTCATCTCCTTCATCATCTATGAGTTTGTCCTGGGAGATTGTATGGAGGTGAGGGGCTGGCTGGGGAACGGGGGGTCCTGGGGAGGAGGGAGAGTTAAGGGGGAGGGATCTGAATGGGGGTGCTCCAGAGTCCGCAGGAGGTGGCATTTCTTTCTAAAGGACATGATAGTACCAACAAGGAGACTAACACTAACGTGTGACAGGAACTTTACGGAGCAGAGTGGCAGCAACAGAGAAAATTTCAGAAGATGCCCCTGAGCACCTGTACAAGGTCTCAGTGCTCCCCGGGTCCCCACTTCCCAGAAGAAGACGTTCGTAGGGGTTCCCAGTTCCAGGCCAGATGGTCTGATTTTATTTTAACCCACTTTAAAGAGTAGCTCTAAGGAAAAAGGACAGAGTGGGTTTGTTTTTTAAGTGGATTATGTGTTTATATACACACACACACACACACACACACACACACACACACATATATACACATACACACACAAACATACAGCATTTCCATTTTATTTTAAAATTTATTTGGCTGTGCCTGGTCTTAGTTGCGGCATGCAGGATCTAATTCCTGGACCAGGGATTGAACCCGGGCCCCCTGCATTGGGGGCATGGAGCCTTGGCCACTGGAGCAGCAGGGAAGTCCTTGTAGATTAAGTCTTAATTTGGCTTCTCCCACCAGCAGGTCCTGAGAGGAGGGAGCTGGGGAACTTGTGCCTAAATTGCCATCAGTCACTTCCAGAGGATGCACAGAGTGAGGGTGTTAGTTCTCTGGTCTTAGCCCTCCAGCACTAAGGTAGAGCCTGTGTGTCCTGCAGTGATAAAAGCCCAAAGGTGTGAGGGTCAGGGGAGAGTTAGTGTCTTCGGCAGATGGCACTTTGCCTTAGCTCTGATCAGACTTGCAGTGTCATTTGAATCAGCGTCAAGGAAGCCATGCTTCAGAAACATCCACAGCAGTAGGCAAAGATATCCAGTGTGGCATGGTTTATAACAGTGAAAAGTTAAATGCTTGTCAACCAGTGGTTGGGCAATACGGTATATCCATATGTCAGAAACAGTCCACCTGTGCTACGAAAACTAGGCAGCAGCCACAGGAGTGCGGCAGAGCTGTGTGCCCTGGTGCTCAGAGAACCCAAAGATACAGAATTAGTGAAAAAGCTCATCTCTGAGTCAGGGATGGTCTGATCTCATGGTTTTCTTCCATCTCAAAATTATTTAATTGTACACGCATGTGTTTGTAAAAGCACAGAGAAAGGACTTGAAAGACATAGTACCCTGATAACCGGGACCACCTCTGGGATGAGGGATAGAGGACAATGTCTACACAGCACTTGTATCTTAATATGAGTAATTATATCTGGAAGTTAACAGCTGTGGTGGATTGAGGGCTTCCTATGTGCTGAGTACTGTCTTCACAGAACCATGATACCGGTAGTAATATTACCCCCATTTCATCAACCAGGACCCGCAGTCACAGGTCCTAAGGGCCTGAACTCAGGAGCCAGAATGCCTTGGTTCAAATCCTGGCTCTGCCACTTCTCCATCTGTGTGACCCGGGGGAAGTTACTTGAGCACTCTGTGCTTCGGTTTCCTTATCACCACAAAGGAGCTAATGATAGCAGCTACCTCATAAGATATATATGTACTCAGTAAAATAAGTCATTATTCACAGTTATACTTGTGTATATTTTTACCCAAAGAACTGTATAGTATAAATTTAGGGCCGTTTTTATCATTGAAATTTAAAAATTCTGTGGCAGCTGAAAGAGGAAGGTCTAATTCCTATTCTGCTACATTCTGGCTTCTCTGCGATTCCATTTCTTCTCCTGAGGGGGTGATAACACCTACCCTGCTGGACAGTGGTGAGGTTTAGCTGTAACACATAAAGCATCAGTATTTTTTATCGCTCTCTTCAGTTTTTGCATTATCGTCCTGGTCTGCTGTACCAGCAAGTGGGGCTCCGATGGCCTCCTGTGACCGTGCCCCGCCCCCAGAACTGCTGCTGTGTTCTTGCTCTCTCTGCACCCCCTTCATCCCTCTGGCACCATGGAGGGGCGACCTAGGATTGGGGTGTCAGTGGGTCAGGAACGTGTTTCTCCTCCCCCCACAGTCCGTGGGCTCTGTCTACAGCGGCCTGATGCAAGGAGTAGGGGCCGCTGAGAAGGTGTTCGAGTTCATTGACCGGCAGCCAACCATGGTGCATGACGGGAGCTTGGCCCCTGACCACCTGGAGGGCCGGGTGGACTTCGAGAACGTGACCTTCACCTACCGCACTCGGCCCCACACCCAAGTCCTGCAGGTGAGAGAGGGCCCGAGGCCCCCCATCACTACCTGCGATCAGCCTGTGCCTCCTCCCATCTCTCTCGCACCTCCTACAGGCCAGGCCTGGCAGTGCAGCCGAGAATGCGAAAAGCAGAGTCCCTCCACTCCTGGAGTTGGGCTCTAGCTGGGGAAGGCAGAGCATTAACAAAAGGATTCCAGAAGTGCTAGGAAGGCAGTAAATCGGGGTGGTCTGCAGAGATGGTATTAATAGTCCAAGAGGGCTTCTCGGGGGAGGTGATTTTTTATCTCGGACCTAAACAAGGAGCAGGAGCCAGCCAATGGCTCTCTGCAGCAAGAACATTCCAGGCAAAGGAGACAAGAATAAAAGTGCTGTCAAGGCCTAGAAAGGAGAGCCTTCTGGGGGCGGCGGCAGTGGGGCAGGCTGGGAAGGGTGCCCAGGGCCTCTAAGACCAGAGCCTCTGAGTGAGCCTCGGCCCTGCCTTATGTCTGCGTGTTCCTTGCAGAACGTGTCCTTCAGCCTGTCCCCAGGAAAGGTGACTGCACTTGTGGGGCCGTCGGGCAGTGGGAAAAGCTCGTGCGTCAACATCCTGGAGAACTTCTACCCCCTGGAGGGGGGCCAGGTGCTGCTGGACGGGAAGCCCATCAGCGCCTATGACCACAAGTACTTACACCGCGTGGTAGGTGCACAGGCCTTTGCCGCCCTCCTTCGCCCTTTCCATTTGACCTTCTCTCGAGAGTACTAACAGATGCAGGTGAGAGGGCGCAGGATACACACACAGTTCAAAGGATTATCACTGGGATTTCCTGGGTGGTCCAGTGGCTAAGACTGTGCTCCTAATGGAGGGGGCCCAGGTTTGATGCCTGGTCAGGAAACTAGATCCCACATGCTGTTACTAAGACCCAATGCAACCAAATAAAATAAATAAAATATATATTTTTTTAAAAAAGGGATTACCACCAACGAAACACCACCCAGTTCAAGAAATAGAACATTCCAGCACTCCAGAAGCGCCCCCCCACCGCCCCACTCCATGTGCCCCTTCTTTTTCTCCCAAGAAGCGCCATCTCACCCAACTTTCATAATCATCATTTTCTTGCTTTCCTTTTGTTCTTTCCATCGCTGTGTGCCTCCCCAGACAGCGCAGCTGTGTTTTGCTAGTTTTGAACTTCATCTGACTGGAGTCATAACATGTGTATTCTTTGTGTCTTGTTTCCTCCACTCAGCGTTATTTGTGAGTTTTCCAGGTTGAGGCTGTGTTTGTAGTTCCTTCATTTTCATTGCTGGGAGATAATCCACTGTGTAAACATGTCACAGTCCATTTACACATTCTGTTTCTTGATGGATATTTGGGGGTGTTTCCTGTTTTTCTAATATTAGCAACAATATTGATATGGACAACACTGATACTGTGTGTCCTGGTATGCACAGGTGGGGTGGATGTGTATCCTCAGCTCTAGTAATTCCTGCCATTAAGGTGGTTTACATTTTTCTTTTTTTAACTTTACAGTCCCACCAGCAGTGAATGAGAGTTCAGGTTTTCCACATTTAAATTATCTCCAGTACTTAAAGGAGGCTATTCATGACCTTACAGTTTTTGGTAATCTTCTCAGGTGCACTCAACATCTGCTTCTGAGCTGGTATAAGAGCAGGGATGCCCTGGATGGTTGTTCAGGTTGCACATTATGAAGGAAACACCAACTTCTAAGCAGACACCCTTTACATCATCTACAGACATTAAGTTATGTGAGAGCCTGGGTTGGCACAGAGATTCCAGAACTTCCAGCTAGTTGTAGATGCTGGTGGTGGCCACAGATTGTGACATCTTCCCACTCATGTGTATATAACCCTTCCCACTCATGTGTATATAACCATGGGTAGATGGTGAAGAAGTGGTCCCAGGTCAGAGTTCTTGAAGTGGCTCCTGGACAGAACTGTTTCAAGCTTTGCAATAGTTAACATGCTCAGATACTTAATCTCAGATAACTAGTATCAGTATCTGTAACCAGTTGGTGAGTATCTGGAGGTAGTTCATTGAGGTCTTTTGCATTTTCCTGGTGACTAAAGATTTTAAGTCCTTTTTCATATGTTTCTTGGAGTTTTGGATTTCCTCTTTTGTGAGTATCCTCTGTTTAAATTTTTAATTTTCATAAACCCAAAGCAGTAGAACTCAACCATCTAACTATATTCTCATATTTTCAGAGAATTTTATAACAAACACGTGAGAATTCCCTCCACCTCACCTTTTGAATTCCACCCCATGGCACGATCCAGCATTATCAGTTTAGTCAACATCCTTTCCTTTCCAATGTGTTTCCCATCTTTATATAAGCATATCTACATATAAAGGCTTCCCTGATAGCTCAGCAGGAAAGAATCTGCCTGTAATATAGGAGTCACAGGAGACACGGATTTAATCCCTGAGTCGGGAAGATCCTCAGTTGAAGGAAATGGCAATCCACTCTGTTATTCTTGCCTGGAAGATCCCACAGACAAAGGAGCCTGGTGGGCTACAGTCCATGGGGTCGCAAAGAGTCAGACATGGCTTAGCAACTAAACAGCAGCAGCAACAATATATAAAGGCATGTACACTTTTTTAAAACAGAAATAGAATCGTGATATATATTGCAGCTTGATTTTATAGGTGCACTGTAATAATTTAATCGATCCTCAATTTATGGACAATTAGATTTTTTTTCTTTTTCCTTTTTTGCTATTTATAGTATTGTAATGACATCCTCCAACTACAAACAAATTCCTAAAGCTGGGACCCTGAGACAATAGCTCCTTTCTGTTGGTCTCTAGAAGGGAGGGGGCAGCAACCAGGGCGGTCCCTGTGGCCTCGGCCTGCTCTGGCCTCTTGCTTCTTGCCATGGACAGACTCGCAGAGTCACACTCCACACTCTGTCACTTTCTTTTCTTCCAGGTCAGAGGCAGCCAATGAGCTCTGTCTCGGAGGTCAGGGAACTTGGCTGAGCCCAGAGCGGCAAGCTTAGCGGGGCCCCCAGTGTGTTGGTCAGGGAGGCTGAGGGCTTGTGCAGAAAGTGGACTCCACTGTTTGGAAAGAAGAGAGGTCACTGGATGCAGCAGCCGGCCATGGGCCCTGATCAGATTTCAGACTTGAGGCCCCAGGCATCAGCTAGGCCTGGGGCTGGTGAGGTTCCTGGCGACAGCTGGACTGACACGTTCCCGGCCTCCCATGCCCCATCCTTCCTCCTCCACAGATCTCCCTGGTGAGCCAGGAGCCAGTGTTGTTCGCCCGCTCCATCACAGACAACATCTCCTACGGCCTGCCCACTGTGCCCTTCGAGACAGTGGTGGAGGCTGCCCAGAAGGCCAACGCCCACGGCTTCATCATGGAGCTGCAGGACGGCTACAATACAGGTACAGGGCTCAGAGCATCGCCTCCACTGTGCCCGGAGGTCCGTCCTCAGGGATTCAACCCTCTGAGTTATGCGTTGCCCTCTGCCAGCTACTGTTTATTATTTCAGGTGAAATCCACATAACATAAACTTAAGTGTTTTTAAATATTTATCTATTTATTTATTTGGCTGCATTGAGTCTTGGTTGCAATACTTGGGAGCTTCTGTTGTGGCTCTCAGGCTTAGTCACCCCACGGCATGTGGGATCTTAGTTCCCCAACCAAGGATCAGACCCACGTCCCCTGCATCACAAGGCGGATTCTTAACCCCTGGACCACCAGGGAAGTCCCTAAACTTAACTATTTTAAAGTGAACAATTCTGTGCTTCCACTGCAGGGGGCATGGGTTTGATCCCTGGTCAGGGAACTGAGATCCCACATGCCTTGTGGTGCAGCCAAAAATGAATAAATAAATCAAACACTTCAGTGGCACTTAGTACATTCACAGTGCTTTAAAACCACCACCTCAATTTAGTTCCAAAACATAATTATTTTAAAATGGTATATATATTATTTATAGTTACTTTATGTGAATAAGTAATTTAATGAGTTGAGCAATATATTAACTTATAGATTTAATTTAACGTATTTTAAAATTTTAACTCTTGCAGTGGGGCTATTCACACAGTTCAAGATGAAAAGATTAGACCTAACTATGTCCAGTGAAAAGTTTCATTTCATCCCAGTCTTCACTACCAGTTCCCTCTGGCCCCCACCAAAGCTTCTTTCATTAATTTCTTACATGTCATTTTGGAGTTTCTTTATGCAAATATGAAGTATGTGTTTTTAGTTCCTCCCACCCATCTACAGAAAAAAAAAAAAAAGTACCTTATATTCTGCACCTGGTTTTTTTAAATGATACCTTTTTTTCCATATTGATACCTAGAAAGCTACTTTTTTTTTTTTTAGCTACTGCACAGTATTCTATTGTGTGGCTTTATAATACTTTCCTTAAAAATAACTGATTTCCTCAGTTTCCTTTGATAGACAGCTTGTATTGTTTTTTTGGTTTGGGGGTTTTGTCGTTTTCAGTTAACAGTGCTGTGAGTCACAGCGCAAGTAAATGAGCAGGAAATATTCCCAGAAGTGGGTTTGCTGGTCCAGGGGTTATGTGTCTGTAACTGTGGTCTGTGCACTCACGCAGCACAACCTGACACAGGGGTCTCAGCAGCTGCACCCCAGGGAGACTCGGGGTGCCCTTTGCCCTCAGCCATCCCAGCACACTATGTTCTCAAACGTTTGGAGTTTTGCCAGATTCATAGGTAAAAGTTGGCATCTTGGTACCAGCCGCACACAGTCGTAATTTGCTTGCCCCTTATGACCAGGAAGGAGGAGCATTGCTCCATGAGGTTTCCAGCCGGTGGCCCTGTCAGCCCCACCTTTCCCGGGGAGCAGAGCTCCTGTGGCAGAAGGGAAAGGAGAGGCAAGGGATTGCTCGTCCTTCCCCGAGGGCCACCCAGCCTCCCCTCCCATTCACTTGCACCTGTGCCTCCGCCCCGCAGAGACAGGGGAGAAGGGTGCCCAGCTGTCCGGGGGCCAGAAGCAGCGGGTGGCCATGGCCCGGGCTCTGGTGCGGAACCCACCCGTTCTCATCCTGGATGAAGCCACCAGTGCCCTGGATGCAGAGAGCGAGTATCTGGTGAGTTGCGGGGTGGCAGGTGATGCTGGAGCAGGGCAGGTGAAAGGTGCTGGGAAGGGCTCAGGGTAGCTGTAGGGACTCTCCCAGGCCATCAGCTTCCTGGATTAGGGTGTTCTGGAGCTGAGGAGAGAGAGCGGGGATGGAGGAGACCCAGGGCGTGGTCACTCAGCCCAGCCTCAGGGCTCTAGGTGTTGAAACCAAATGCACCTGGGTTCGAGTCAGGAGATGTGGGCCCTGGATTAGGAGCTTCGCCCTGGAGCTCATAACCTGAGTGTCTCTCTTACTCCAACTCTCATGTCATTGGTAAAGCGGGGCCCACAGTGTATTTGAAGCGGACTTGGCTACCCCCATCTTGCCATGGAACCATTCATTTATCACACGGTATTTAATGCCCACCTCCTGGGCACCAGGCACTGTTCTGGGTGCCAGGGTCACATTGGCCCCTGCCCCCAAGGTGTTTCCAGTCCAGGGCGAGAGACAGATCACAAGGAGACAAGGGTGAGTGTGCCCTGGGGCCTGTACTGTGTAGAAAATGAAACAGTCGTGTGATGGAGAGGTTGAGAAACATGGCTGGCCATTAGTTAAAACTGGGAAAACACATTTTATCCAGTAGCTAAGAAAGCAGGGAAAAGAGCTGAGGTCTGTCTAGGATTTGTGCAGGGGTGATGATGGTGATGGGGCAGCCATTTCAAAGGGAGACTGAAGACGTAGGGAAGAGGCGGGAGCAGGGGTCAGGGGAGACTCACAAAGAGCTGGGAGCTGGTGGACAGTTGGCAACCACTCAAGTCTGGGAGATGGGGCCCTATCCTTCCGATGATTACATTTCAAAGGGATGACAGAGAGAGACATTCCTGAGCTTTAGGAGACTTGCATATGTATCTCCAGGTGACAGAGGAAGGTGTGACAACTCTAAGCCCCTTTTGGTAAGTGCTCTAAGAGAGGGAGTTCCGCCACCCGCCGCCCAGCATGTGTTGGTTAGGACACTCAGTTCTCCTGGCGGCGTTTAGGGGCTGGGGTCATCCCAGGGACAAGGCTGTGCCCCTGCGGGAGCCCTGCTGGAATGTGGCTGTCTTAGTGCAGGGTTCAGATGGGGTCACACCTGCCCAGAATTCATGTGCAGAACCAGGGCCATCAAGTAGCTATTGAGCTGAGACCAGAAGGGAAAGGAGCCAGTCAGGGGGTTCTGGGAAAAGGGGCAATGCGGGCAAAGGCTCAGAGCAGGTCCACAGCCAACCCCCCAAGGTCAGCATGGTTGATGGTGGGGGTTGGGCATGGTGAGATCGGGACAGAGTCATTGTGGGTACACCAGCTGTTCAGGCCCTGGGAAGGGGTTTGGATTTTTTGTTTTTTTTGTGTGTTTGTTTTTTTTTTTTTTTTAGAGTAGGTTTACGTTTAAAGAAAATTGGACAGAAAGTACAGAGTTCCTGTATATACTCCTCCCCCCAAACAATGTCACCTGTTATTAACATATTACATTAGCAGTATTAGTTCCCATTGAAAATTGGTATTAGTGCATTGTTACTAACTCAAGGTCACCATTCAGGTCTCGGGTCCCTTTGTATTGTGAATTCTATGGGTGTTAACAAACACAGGATGTCATGTTATGCAGAAGAGTTTCATGGCTCAAAAATTCCCCCCAGGAGTTTGGGGTTTATCCTAAATAGGACTAGAAGCTCTTGGAGGGCTTGGAGCACGAGTTCAACAAGAACTGATTAAAAGTATTAAATCCACATGGGGAGCGGGTCAGGAAAGTTGCCGGGATCCAAGCGAAAAGGAACAGTGGCAGAGGTGGAAAAATGGAGCAGAGAGACCCTGGGGAGATGGGGCGACAGGATTTGCTGATGAGCCAATTTGTGGGGTGAGGGAAGGATGGAGGAAGCAGATGATGCTGGTTTTGTTGGCATGAGCTCTGAGGCTGACGGTGAGACCATTAGCCAAGGCCAAGGCTAGGGGAAGACCATGTCGGGAGCCCTTCCGTCATTCACCGAGTGCTGCCCCATGTCAGGCTCTGAGCTCTGTCCCCCAAGGACATGAAACTCAGGAAGCAGGTCCTGTGCAAGCCCTCGCTTTACAGGCGAAGAAGCCCCAGAGAGGCTGAGCGTCCGTGGGATGTGGTGGACCCGGGATCTGAGCCAGGCCTGAGCGGGGTGGTGGGCGGCGGCGGCGGCAGCGGCGTGTGAGCCGGTGCCCTCCTGTGTCCGCAGATCCAGCAGGCCATCCACGGCAACCTGCGGAAACACACGGTGCTCATCATCGCGCACCGGCTGAGCACGGTGGAGCGGGCGCACCGCATCGTGGTGCTCGACAAGGGCCGCGTGGTGCAGCAGGGCACACACCAGCAGCTGCTGGCCCAGGGTGGCCTCTACGCCAGGCTGGTGCAGCGACAGATGCTGGGGCTTGAGCCCGCCGCGGACTACACAGCCGGCCACAGGGAGCCGCCGGGCAACGGCAGTCACAAGGCCTGACCGCAGGGCCCCGCCTCTCCCGGTGGGGCAGAGGCCCCGGAGCCGGCCTGGCAGAGGTGCCCACGGGGGCCCCCCATCACGGCCACCCCCACTGCCCTCTGAGCCCAAGCCCACGGCACTGGAGGGGGTGGGCCAGCTGCCCTGCCCCGAGAGTCACCGCTTCCTGCATCTCTTCCCCGGGTCCCTGCCCTGTTTCCTGGGCCACCACCGGCCCCCTGCTGCCATGAGCCACCCTGGCCAGTCTGGGCACGGAGACACCACTGGTCTCTCGGGCTGGTCTCCCGAAGCTTATAGGCGAAGGTAGAACTACCTTTTTAAACCAAGATCTTAACCAGGTTTTTTTACTGCTTGGTTCAATGGCCCCCATCAACTCCTAGATTTCAAAAACATTTTTCTAATTGGGAGTAATGATGGGCAAGGTCCCTGAGATGTTCTGGACACTTCTGAGCCGGGAGTGAATGACCCTTCTCCCTAGAGCCTGGGGGGATGTCAGGGAGAGCTGGGCCTCTGCTGTTTGCCCCTGGAGAGAAGGGGCTTCCCAGGCCCTGTGGTGGTGGGAACACGGCGGGGTGGGGGGACTTCCTGTCTTGCCCTCTTCCCAACTTCGTGAGTCAGGCCAATGGTGGGCGGGGAGTGGAAGGCGCCTGCCTGCCCATCACCCCCCAAATCTAAGCCAGTCTCACTGTGAACCACTACAAACCTTAACTAGGGGAGTGAGGGGCTGGCCAGGCCTGGCGGAGCCTTGGGGGGTCCCTGGCCCAGCGCCCAGCTTGAGCCCCTCCCGCTGGCTTGTCCCTCCCTGCGCCCTCTCCCCTGGCTGGCAGCCCCCTCCCCACATCCGCCCCGCCTCTCTGCCGTTCTGAGGCTCTCTGGACGTCTAGGAGTCCGGTGCACAGGACGCTGGCAAAGCCCAGGTCTGTCTTTGTAGTGGGGTTGCGAGATGTTGGGAGAACCCGGTCAATAAAGTATACTACCTCTCACCCCTGACCTCTGACCTCTTTCTGGGCCATCTGCCTCATTGCCTGGTTAGGTTTCTCCATCAGGCCCTGCCTGGTGTAATTGTGGAGAGACTCTGGGTGGTCTAGGGCCTCCCCGCATCCAGTGTCCGGGTGCCCTTCACATCCCCAGGACCCCCAGTGCAGACATTCGCGTCCATCCATCTGTCTCCATGGGGCTTGTGCAGGATAACAGACCAGTCTCCACTAAACCCCCAGGATCCTCTGTGCCTCCTGGGAAAGCCAAAACCCAGCAAATGCCACCTGTTTTTTTTCTATCAGGGACAGAGCACCCTACGCTCACCAGCCCATGGCACCAAGACATATTACCCAGCAGCACAGCTTGATCAGAAGGGAGGCTTAGGACTGGACCCAGGAAGACCTCCTGGCGGTACTTCTTACTTGCTGAATTGTGTGGAAGTCTGGGGTCCCGGGAGCGGGACTAGGGCAGTGGCTTTTACCAACAGGTATGGAAGTACTTGAGTTTTTTAACAACAGGTGAAGTCACACTACATACACCAGCTCCATGTCTGCCGTGTATCCATTTTCCTGCCAAATAAATCAAGGCCTGAGGCCCAGACTGTGGCCAGCTGAGTCCCCTGCTTGCCTTCAGGGGCTTGGACCTCCCTTGAGCATCTTATTTATCCAGGACCCTCCCTCCCTGAAGAAGCCATCGTGAACCTGAGAGCTGGATCCCCCAGCAAGAACCAGCTCAGGCCCAGGCTGGGGTTTCAGGTGGAATTGGAGAGATACCAGGTGCTTAGCGTCTGATCTCATTTAATCCTCACAACAACCAATTCTCTCCCCATTCTTAAGTTGAGGAATCTGAAGCTCAGAGAGGTTAACTGATTTATCCTACACTACACAGCCAAGACCCCACAGCTAAGCCCCTACCCCATCCACCCACCCCACCCCACCTCGCCAAGAGCAGGGGATGAAAAAGTTTCAGGGCATTATGTTATCTGGACTCTCTTTGCTGTGCTTACTATTCCATGATAAAAATAAACAAAAATTTAAAATGCTGTGAAAACCCAACAAGGTACATGTTGTTCAGTTGCTCAGTCATGTCTGACCCTGCGACCCCAAGGACTGCAGCATGCCAGGCTTCCCTGTCCTTCACCATCTCCCGGAGTTTGCTCAACAACAAGATGCACAGGTGAACTCAATTCAAGCAGGAGGAAGGCTGAGACAACTGTAAGGAGCTTCCCCTCTCTGGGCCTCAGGGAGATGGGTCGCAAGGGTGGAAAGAGAAATTGAACCTCTTGCCTGGGAAGGTGGGGGCCCTTGGAGGAGGGCGTGCTGGTTTCCTGTGGCTTCTGTAACCAGTGACCACAACCAGGTGCCTTAAAGCAACAGAAACATATCTTTCCCAGACTTGGAGGCCAGAAGTCTGACACCCAAGGGTTGACAGAACTGAGCTCCTTCTGGAGGCTCTAGGGGAGGGTCCTTCCTACTTCTGGTGGCTCCAGGGGTTCCTGGCGTGTGGCTGCCTCCCTCCAGTCTCTGCCTCCATCATCACCCGGCCTTCTCCGTGTGTCTCAAATCTCCCTCTGCCTTTCTCTTGTAAGGACATTTGATGTTAGAATTTGAGCCCATGTGAATTATCCAGAATCATCTCACATGAGATTCTGAACCAAAGACCCTTTTTCCAAGTAAGGTCACTCTCACGGCTCCAGGGATTTGACATGGATGTCTTTAGGGGGAATCTTGCAGCCTTTGGGCTTTCCCGGTGGCTCAGTGGTAAAGAATCCACCTGCAATGCAGGAGCCACAGGAGACTGGGGTTTGATCCCTGGGTTGGGAAGATCCCCTGGAGGAGGGCATGGGCAACCCACTCCAGTATTCTTGCCTGGGAAATCCCATGGACAGAGGAGCCTGGCGGGCTACAGTCCGTGGAGCTGTAAAGAGTTGGACACGACTAAGTAGCACACACCTTGCAGCCTTCTTTCACATGGTTTTTGCATCCCCTACTCTGCCCCATCCCGGGGGCCCCTGCCCTGGCCCAGGGCCACCTCAAGACTTTCTGTTTGGTTTGGGGGTAGGGGGTTTCAGTGCTCAGAGGGAAGGACAGCCAGGCTTGAGTCAGGCTGGTTGTGACAGGGATCATGGGACTGGAAGCCGAGGTTTCGGACTGGACCAGCCTGCTGCTGCCAGGTTCACGTGTCCCTCCCTCAATCAGATCCCGGACTTAGTGCTGAGAACCCTCCAGGGCATCTCAGCGCATCAGGGGCAAACACCTCCCTGTGGCCTCTGCCTGCCTTTCAGTAGCGCCTCTCCATCCACACAGCCCTCTTCCTTCTCCTTGAGCGAGTCAAGCTCATTCTTGCCTCTGAGCCTTTACACTGCCTGTTCCTTCTCCCTGACACACTGCTCCTCCCCCTGGGTTCCCAGATGATTTTTTCTCATTTCTGTCTCACTCATGTGTCCCCTCCTCCTCAGCAGGTACTGAGTGTGGCGTTTTCCCTGGTCACCCTGATCTGTTATCATCACAGCACCCATCACCCCCTGAAATCTTGGCCTCTTTTGTTCTGTTCCAGGCACAGGTGTGCATGCTTTACATGAGCTGCATCACTTAATCCTCATAAAACCTCTGAAAGGTAGGTACAGTGTCATCCCTGCTTTACCGATGGGGAAACTGAGGCACAGAGAGGTTAAGCGACCTGCCCAAGACCACCCAGCTAGTAAAGACTAGAACCAGGATTCACACCCAAGAAGAATGTGTATGTTTGATCCCAACCACACAACACCTGTGAGCATGAAGACTTAAGGGTGTGGATTGGGGCGGGTAGGTTGACCTGCAAGGGAGAGCTGCCCATCAAACACAAGACTTGAGTTCTTAAACCTGAGTCCCTCCAGGAGCAAGGTAGGTATCATAGGTGAGTGAAGCCAGCTGGATATAATAAAAATCAGACAATGTCTTGATTTCTCTTTTGCTTTTCCACTTTTGACATAGTACAGAGAAAATCTGTTCAATTAGTCCGTAAAATATGGTGCAAGCTTGAAGATAAGTGGTAACTGAAGCTGAGTGTCAGTTGTTGCTGTTTAGTTGCTAAGTTGTGTCCAACTCTTTGCAACCCCATGGACTGTAGCCTGCCAGGCTCCTCTGTCCATGGGATTCTCCCAGGCAAGAATACTGGAGCAGGTTGTCATTTCCTTCTCCAGGGGATCTTCCCAACCCAGGGATCAAACCCACATCTCCTGCATTGGCAGGTAGATTCTTTATTATTCTTGCCATAATTGGTGACCATAGGGGATGGTGGGGATCGTGGCAAACAGGAGAGCTCACACTCCTTTAAAGAGGATGGCCAGGGGACTTCCCTGGTTAAGAATCTGCCTCCTGATGCAGGGGATGTGGGTTTGGTCCCTGGTCGGGGAACTAAGATCTGACATGTGTTGGGGCAACTAAGCCCGTGTTCCACGACTAGGGAACAGCCCGTTCACCACAATTAAAGATCCTGCATGCCAAAACTAACAAAACTGACACAGCCACAAATCAATAGATAAATTGAAAATTAAATAAAGGGGATGGCTGGGACTCAGCTCCAGACCTGAGGACATAGAGAAAGGTGGCCTCGAATTAGCAGATTTTCAGATGTTTCCAGAGAAGTTGGAACTTTCCAATTGTCATGTGAGATTGACTGCTTTTTATAGATTGGCTCAATTACGTTTACAAAACCAAGTGTAAATATAACACCTCCCTAGCCTTTGGACTGTGGGTTATCCATTAGCAACCTCTGTGCTCAACATTCCTGTTCTCCAAATTTCTTGGAGTTTCCATAGCAAGATGCTTCCATGGGGGATGCCCCCAGCCCAACCCCATTCCTGCCCAGACTCCTCCTTCCCTCCTCCCTTATCCCCCTCTCTTCACCTCATCCCTCTCTCCTGGCCTGGGAATTCCAGATTCTTCTCCCTCTCCAAGGCTGAAGTCAGCTCCAGCTCCCTAAATTGCAAATCTGAACCCCAGCATGGGCCCTAGCCAGACAAAGAACCTTCTGGAGACCAAGCAAGCCCTTTTCTGGAAGTTACATATGATTTTCGAGAATAAATGTTTTATTTTGGAATCATTTTAGGTTTGCAGAAAAGTTGCAGTGATGGTAGAGGGCGTTGCTGTATATATAGCAGCTTTGTACATAGAGGCAAAGCTCGCCCGGCTTTGCCTTGTGTTAACATCTCACATGACTGGGACACATTTGTCACGACTAAGAAGCCTACACAGGCGCAGCACTGGCAGTGAAATGCCAAGCTTTTTTTGGATTTCCCCAGTTTTCCCACTGTGTCCTTTTTCTGTTCTAAAATTCAATTCAAAGATAGGTTTTTTAAGATTGTTTTTATCAAGATAAAATATGCATAACATTTACCACTAATGACATTTTAGTACATTGACAGTGCGGTACAACCATCACCATTATCTCTTTCCAGGACATTTTTATCACCCTTCCCCCCCTAAAAAAAACCAGGTCCCCATTAACTGTCACCCTCCATTCCCCCACCTCCCTCAGACCCTGGCAACCATTAGTCTGCATTCTGTCTCTGTAAATTTGCCTGTTCTGGACACTTCATATAAATGGAATCGTAGATATTGTGGCCTTTTCTGTCTGACTTCTTTCAACATCATGTTTTCACGGTTCATCCATGTCTATGTCTATCTATGCCTATATCAGTGCTTCATTCCTTTTTATGGCTGAATAATATTCCATTGTATGGATGGAACCCATTCTGTTTATCCATCCATCCACTGATGAACACTTGGGTTATTTTCACGTTTTGACTACTGTGGACAGTGCTGCTATGAACATTCACATTTTTGGGTGGACATGTTTTTGATTCTCTGAGGTTTATACTTAGGAGTAGAATTGCTGGGTCATATGATCACTCTGTGTTTTAAGAGAGTTTCACTTTGAGAAATCACCACGCCATCTTCCAGAGTGGCTGCACCATTTTACATTCCCAACAGCAAAGTATGAGGGTCCAATTTCAACACATTCT